AAATCTCTTGATCTTTTTTCTCCCTCTCTCTAATATTTTAAACCTTTTCCCTGTTGCCTCTCTTTAATTCTTCAATTTAATCCAGCTTTGTTCTTTTTTGCCTTTGCCTTGTCCCCTTCTCTGATTTTATTCAGTTATTATTTCTATCTTTACCAAATCGCTCTGTACTTTAAAGTGTGTTCTATCTTTTGGCAATGTGATGTGATGTTGGCATCAACAAAGTTCATGCTTGAGAATTACACAATCAAGCTACCAAAACAAAAAAAGGAAAGGGAAGAAAGAGAAAAACCCCTCCTAATATTTTAAGTCAGTTTAGACTTTGTATTGTACTACATCCATAGCTATCCTGAGTTACATGTGGCCAGTAAACATCAGCTAGGAGGTGCTTGACGGAGCCTTCATTGTTTTTATCATTTCCCTTTCTGTTGCCAACTCATCCTGGCAAGGACTTCCCCTTTTTCTCTTATAAAATCTAGTTCTGCAGAGCCACCTGCTGCTGTCTTTGCCTGATCCCGAGGCAGCTTCCCCCTCCCCCATTATTCTTCTGGGGTAAATAAGTCTCCTTTATGCTGAGCGTCTGGAGTCGGGTGTGTCCTGTGCCAACTCTGAGGCCCCTTTAATCAGCAACATGGATGAGAAACTAATAAAGGGAACATATTTGGGAAGGGAAAAACAGAAATGTCAGAGAAGAAAAGCCCAGTGAATCAAAGGAAATGTACAATGGGAAACATCACCAATAGATACCATCAAGATGAATATTATCAAGAATGATATAATGAAAAGAAGGTAAGACTAAGGAAATACTATGCTCAAAGGAAAAAGAAAAAAGTAAAGGAAATAATCATTGGACTAATTCTAGGACCCCGCAGTGCAGGAAAGGGAGCTGGGGTGAGCAACCACAGCCAGGGAAACCTAGTTAGTGGATACTGCAGCAGGAATCCCCAGAGATCTAGGGAAATAAATGGCACACAAACATAAGAGGCATTTATAACCCGAGAGACATACATAGAAAACAACCTCTCTACGACAAGCTGTAGTTCAAATGCTAAGCCTACAGAACAAACAAATAGTGTTAAAAGCTACAATATAAAAATGCCAGCTCACAAAGGCAAACTGACAGAATACCATCAGTCTTCTCCGAAAAACAAAGGACAATTCATTTCAAACCCTGAAAGTTTATAACTACCAACCATCTCTATATCCTTCAAATGTATCTTTTAAAGAAACAGAAATTAAAGCCTTCCAGGAAAAACACATCAAAGGTACTTCATGCTCACCAGACCAGCACTGCAGACGATTCCACTTCAAGGAATGCTACACACACAGGAAAAAGAAAGATAGTCTCAATAATGAGAGGAAAAAGAGCAAATTTCATGAGAGTAATAGATGAACAATTAGAAACTAAGAAAACAGTTTTGTACAATTCAATAACCCAGCAATAAATGGTAAGTGAATGAATAAATAAAGATGCAAGAAAAAATATTTGAACTAAGCAGAAAAACTGCCAACAAATTACAGAACTCAGAAAACCCCTCTCAATAACAATCATAGAAGTAAATGATGTTAGCTCATCAAATAAAAGACACAAGATAGCTGGCTGTATTTAAAAACAGGATCCAGCTTTTCAGTGTCTGCAAAATTTGGAACTTACTGGCAAAGCACAGACATACACGTGCTGAAAAGGAAGGGACAGAAATGTAAATACCAAACAAGTAGAAGTTCCTGAAAAATAGAAATAATTATAGTCACATTCGACAAAGTGGGCTTCAAACAAAAATCAATTAGAAAAGATAAAGACACCCTCCATATTAGTTAAGGACTTACCCATAAAGATGTAATTACTACTATAAACACAGGTGCACTGAATGTTGGTGCAGCCAGTTTCACAAAGCAAACACTGCTACATGTAAAGGGGCAGATGGTCCATTAACAATGGATGACTTCTAAAAGCTATCATCAGTATATAGGTCACCTGAGAAAAGGAATCAACAGAGAAATTTCTAAATTACACTGTACCATAGATCAACTCAATTTGACATCTACAGAATATCCTACACAATAGCTGTGTAATACACACTATTCTCAGCAGCCCATATAGTTATCCTTCAAATGGATCACATTTTAAACAAGCCTCACAAATATGAAAATATCAGATTACATAGAATAAAAATCAAAGTCAACAGTAAAAGAAAGGACAGAAACTGTATAAACATATTAAACAGTACACCCTTGAGTAGTCAGGAGGTTATTAAAAAAAAAAAGGAACTTAAAACTTATAGAATCAAATGAAAATGAAAGTGTGATTTATCAGAATCATTGTGATGCAAAAATGCAGTTATTTTTTAAAACTTACCATCATCATCACATGCGCAGGGGTCAGGAGGTACCACAGCATGTGTATAGACATTAGAGAACTACTTTGTAGAGTTTAATGTTTTTAAAAGATATTTTCCCAGGTAATAGGAACACAAACTTATAATCTCTGTAGTCTCCCGTGAAAACCTGTCAATTAAAAACTCTGCAGCCATGGATGAAGCTGCACAAGTGAGCTGGTAAGGGGAGAAATAAGGAGGGTTGATTGACAACCAGAGCTCCTGAGGCAGCTGACGATGTCAATGCACCAGAGTGAGGGAGCTGACACAGCCAATGTGTGAGAACAACACATAATGACATAGATGCATGAGGAATATTCGCCTCAAACCAGCAAAGCTAGTTCTGTTCTAAGCTTAACTGATCTTTGAACTTCAACCTCTTACATTGCTAGCAGACATTCCAAATGAGTGACTGAACTTTATTCAAGTCTGGTGTTTAAGAGTTGTGTGGTCATTAGGCCGAGCTTGAGCTTGTGGAGAGGGAGGAAGGATTGTAGGAGCCAGAGCACTCTGTGGCACCGCAGGAAATCCCACAGAATCCAGAAACCAATTACTAGGCTCGCGGGATCTCCCAGAGTCTGGACCAACCACCAGGGAGCATGCATGGGGACAACCTAAGCCCTCGGCATATGTATATCAGCCGTATAAATTGGTCTGTTTGTGGGTCTCCTGGCAGTGGGCTGTTATTGGTGCTTTGCATGGCTCTTGGGAGCCTATTCCTTTTTCTGGGTCACCTTGTTCATCCTGAATACAGGAGGATGTGCCTGACCTTACTGCAGCTTGATGTGCCACTTTGCAGATGCCCATGTGGGACCTGTCCCTTTCTGAGCATTTATGGAGGGGTGCATTGAAGGTGAGAGGTAAGGGGACAGAATGGGAGGAGAGGAGGGAGGGGAGATTGCAGTCAGGATGTAAAGTAATAAATAAATTAAATTAAAAGAGAGTTGTGTGGACATGGGACTTATCACAGTGCCTCTCACGGTCCCCATCTCTAAGGTCTTACGCCGACTGATTTCCTGTATTATCTCATTCACTGTGAGACAACCTTTTCCCAAATGGTGTGTTAACTTTCTGAAAAATGCGTAATTTTGTGGCAGTAGTAGAGTCTGATGTTCCCAAATGATTGTGAATTGGCCCCTCTTCAACAATTCTGTTATCCGCTGGACTGAGAAATGGTGAATCTCAAGTTTCCCATTTTCAGTGATGGGGAGAGAGAAAGGGCTGTGTGAGTGACCACTAAGTCATTGAGTGTGCAGAGGAAGTACCTGGAGTGCTTATGGCAGCCCAAGGAGCCCATTTGTTTAATTGTGAGGTGGGATGTGGGCGTACGTTTGGTCACATAGTTTTGTTCATTCCTCCTGTTGTGGAAGCTCAGTTATTTTTTATGGTATCTTCAATCCAGGGCATGTGGTGGAAAATGCTAGCATAGATGCCAACGTCAGCTCTCAGAACACAGCCGTCTGCATAAGACAGGATTCCGTAAAGCACACCATTGCAGACCGCTGGGGCAGCCGACACTTCCTACCAGGAAAGAGAAAACCAGGTCATCCTTCTGGCAGAAGACAATAAACTGAAAGAGAAAAACGAGGCATTGAGAATACATTACCTTACAGGGTAACCTTCGTCCCGGCACGATGCCCACACAGATCATGTTTTCTTTGATGTTATAGGCTTTATAGCCATTTTGACACTCAGTCTTGGAGATTACAGAGATGTTCACTGTCTGCAGTGAGTCGGGGTCCTTGGCTAGAGGAAAGAGAGAAATCATACTTGGCATGAGTTCTCCTAAGTGCTAAAGCTTCCTCTTGCTTTCCTCTATTATCAACCCTTGCTCTGTTATCAGGAAAAGAGTTCAAACTCTGAGAAATTAAAACCAATAAGTTTAGACACTAGGCATACAGGAGATTATCAAATTAAAAGCTTGTCATAGTGCAAATGTCCCTCTCCTTAGAAGGGTGGTTTGCATATGTGAGACACTCCTGCAACAAAGTGAACCAAATTGCGTTAGCTTTTGTCTGGAAATTTAAGCATTTGGAGAGTGTCTTTTGTTATAAAAGCGTTAGAGATTGAAGGAATTTAGAAATACAGAGTCTAATTTCTTATTTGTCAGGTGGTAAACATAATTATCTGGTAATAAAATAATATAATAATAATAAATAAAAATATTACCTAAGACTGGGTGTTGGTGGCGCACGCCTTTAATCCCAGCACTCGGGAGGCAGAGGCAGGCAGATCTCTGTAAATTCGAGGCCAGCCTGGTCTACAGAGCAAGTTCCAGGACAGCCTCCAAAACAATACAGAGAAACGCTGTCTCGAAAAACCAAAAAAAAAAAAAAGAAAGAAAGAAAGAAAGAAAATTACCCAAGACACTAGTAAAAGGAAAGGAAAACCAACCAGACTAAATGGTATAGTAGGATTTAGCACCATGTATTCTAGTTTCTAATTCAAGCTGTTTCTTTTACACCAAAGTCTCACAAGCATTGCCTATCATGCATACCCATCAGAAGGGGTTTCTAGTTCAGAAGGTGGTGGCACACACCTTTAATCCCAGTACTCAGGAGGCAGAATCAGGTGGATCTTTGTGAGTTCGAGGCCAGCCTAGTCTACAGAGTGAGTTTCTGGACAGACTCTAATGCTACACAGAGAAACCCTGTCTTGAAAAAAAATCAAGAAAAAGAAAAAGAAAAAGAAAGGTTTTCTAAGGTGAAGAGAGGATAGGGGAAGAGAGGCAGATGGGGAGCTGGGGGATGACTGGGAAGAGAGGGGGAAACTTCAGTTAGGATGCTAAATAAATAAATAAATGATAACACAAACCAAAACAGAGCAACCTCCCCCAAACCAAAAAAAAAAAGAAAAAACAAGCAAAAATCCAAAACAACAAAAAAGAACCTATTTCTAATCTGGTATAGGATGAGAATAATGAGAGTGTAATATCATCTATCTATAGGTGCCCTGCTTAATAATTCCTGGGCAAAAGTTCTATATTTTGAGATTTTACTTTTCTTAATTTAAGATGTGTGTTTACTGCTAAATATCTATTTGAAAATGACTCAAAATTTCAAATTAAACATTGAGCTCCTTTGCTTTTCTTTCTAGTATAACAAAACTTTCTTAGTTCCATGTTTCTTTTGGGGGTTATTTAGGAAGTGTTTACTTCAGGAGTTTGACCAAAATAAGGTACATTTTCTTTTGTGGGGAAGTAATTTTTTTCTTTTTTTATACCTAGTAAGAGTAACTCTTGGTTGTCATTTTATGTTGCTGATATGCTGGGATTCAAAATTTATTGTTCTAGGAATTTATGTGTTCTGAAGTACACACTATATTATTATTTATTATGGTTACTCTACTGCACAATCAAATGCCAGGCTGTGCATCTAGTGGTCAGCTTCTTATTCTCCTTCTCTCTAGTCTTCAGGTATTTATTTTTCAAGCCTACTTATTAATTCTCTACCTGACTTGCCACAATATTATGGATTTATCTTACATTTGATATTTATGCATTTAAGATTTCAAGGATTTAAGATCATTCATTTGAGCTCATTCATTGCTTGAAATGGTATGAAAACTTTTGATAGAGTGTTGTATTTCGTTTTAGAGGGGAGAAGATTGCAGCTCCATGACAAAAGGAAGTTCTGTCACAGATCATGTTAGACATGTAAATATATTCTCATTAAAACAACTTCTTTTATATTTATAAGTAAATATTAATTTGTAAGAGAGAAAGGCATATCTTAGAAAAGGCTTTAAAGTCTTCCAATGAGAAAAAGGAATGCAGAAGCTTGAAGAAAACCCTTTGAAAGCAGAATGGAAGCTCAGAGGATAGTCCAGCTGTGAGAGAATACCAGCAAAGTCTGAAGCCATCACTTAGTGCCTGGAACTCACTGGTGTCACATAGATTGTAGGCCCAGGTGGAGACAGAACATACGGTATTCACAGGGATGACATGTTGCGGCAGTTCAACCATTTTTACATAGTTACTGGGTTTAATTATTCTCTTCAGTTTGATTAACATGAGGTCATACGAAATAGAGGAGATTGAGAAGTATGGATGATGAATCATTTTCTCATATTCGGTTACTTCCACATTCTCTTCAGTGAAGTCTGATGGGTTCGTGATCCCAAGAAAAACCTGAAGCTTCCTAGAATGGTAGGGATGTTCACAAAAGTATGTTATCAGTGTTTCTGCAATCATATGGACCAATGAACATTCCCGGGAGTTCTCCTATGTCCCTTTCACTGAGAGCCGTATGCAGGTGGCTGGGTCTATGTCTAACCTGAGATCTCATACAGCAAAATGGTCTGAAGTTCTTATTACTCACGGCAAATTGCAGTGTGCAGCCGTGAGAACCCAAAGAGGATGGATCAGGACTCCAGTGCAGGGCAAGTATTCAGACCTCAGGTAGACCAAGTAGGGGGGAGTGGCACCAGCTATGTGGTCTGGATTATAGGCAAAGGCCCCTGGAAAGAGAAGGATAGGATATTTTTGTTAATCTCTAAGGAAGCCCCTGAAAAAAAAAGTTCAAAACAATAACAGAGCAAAAACCAAGTTACTGCACCTTCCTCCTCAAGTACATTTAAATGGGGAATCAAATTTTTAAGTGACTTATTTTGTTCAGAAGAAAATGACAAGGGATAGAAACACCTACCTTAAAAGTTAAATATTGTTTATCATATTAGTTGTAAATAAATACTCCTTAATTTGAAATGTGAGTTCTCTTAGGCCTCTTAAGAAAGCTCAGTGGGTAGAACACTTGCTGAGGAAGCCTGGCAGCCTGGGGTTTGGGTCCCCTAGAATGTACACACAATGATGCAAGGAGAGCACCCTCCCCACAAAGTAGTCTACTGTCCTTTCACTGTCCTCAGCTCATGGGCCCCCTAGTCATTTAAAAAATTATTTTGCTTAAATAACTTTCCTTTTCATTCATCTTACATACTAAACACAGTTTCTGCTCCCTCCTCTCCTCCCGGCTGTTCGTCTCCCCTCACCCCTACCTTCCCTCACCCATGACACCCTACCCCTCTCTGCTTCCCATCTACCTCCCCTTCCCTCCACTCTCCCATTTCCACTCAGAGAGAGGCAGGCCTCCCACGGGCTTGAGCAAAGCATGGTACATCAAAGTTGAGGCAGGAAGAAGCCCCTCCCTCGTGTCAAGGCTGGGCATGGGGAACAGGCTCCCAAAAGTCAGCTAACTCCAGTGTGACAGTTCCTGGTCTCACTGCTAGAAGCACTACCAAGAGACCAAACTACACAGCTGTCATACACATGCAGAGGGACTGAGCTGGTCCCATGGAGGCTTCCCAACTGCTGGTCCAGAGTGCATGAGCTTTTAAGGGCACAGGTCAGCGCCCCTGTGGGTTCCCCCATCACGAACCCAGTGGCTTGTACAATCCCACCTCCCTTTTTTCAGCAAAGTTCCTGGAGCTCAGTCCAGTACTTGAGTGCTTGACTGCGGGAACCTGCGTCTGCTTCCGCCAGTTTCAGCTAGAGTATCTTTATGACAGAGCAATTGCCAGTCTGATTACAGTAGATGGCTAGTTCAGGGATCCTCTCCACTATTGCTAGGAGTCTTAAATCGGGTCATCCTTGTGGATTCCTCGGGGTTTCCCCATAACCCCATAACTGTTCCCCTATCAAGGGCATGTCTTTCATCACTCTCCTCTTCTGTTCCACCTCCTATCAGGACTCCAGCACCCGGCCCACCCAACCTGCTCCCTCAAGTTCCCATCCTTCTATTCCCCCTCCTATACCCCAAGTTCACAACCCCTAATGTAGAATGGATCTCATGTAGATGTGTCAATGTCTATGTCTCCCCCAAACTACATAAGCAATCAACTTGCAGTGCAGGAGGCAGGTGTTGTCACAGGAAGTGACGAAACTGGGTAGGGACAGTAGCAGTGCTGAGACAGAGAGAGAATCACTAAGTCTGAAATAGATGCCTCCAGAATTTTTCTGTCTCCCATGCCTTCCCCAAGGAGTCCTCTCTGGGAAATAGAGACAGATGTGCAGGTACTCACCAAGCAGGGTTGAAAGAATGTAGAAGATAAGCTTCATCATGGTGTTGAAAGCCTCCTTATGAGATGGTGTTTAGCTAAGTGTCTCTGTAAAGAATAAAGAAGAGAGGAGATGAAATACAAGTGATAAACCAAGAGAGAGATCTAGGTGAGAAAAAAAATCGATGAGTTATTTCCGTGGCAGGGTTGGTATTCCCGTCAGAGTACAGAGTGGTGTCAGAGGGAAGGAACAAGTTACTCTGAGCGTGGTCTCTCACGCCGTCTGGGTCTGATTTTTGTCCTCCTTTGAAGAAGTTACTTAAAGAGAGATGGTCACAATGTCTCCATAAGACCCTGCTCTTTGACTTGTGCAGGTAGGCTGCTCTCTGAGCTGTGTGCAGGACACAGATCCCTCCTGTCTTTATGATGCCATGCCATTTGTGTGACATTGGTGTGTTAATCTGTACTCTGGTACTGAAAGCCTCTGCAGGACACTCAGTGTCTCTTTGTTGTACTTGAGCAATCATGGTATTCTTAATTTGAATAGTTTTAAACAACCAGTCATCATTTTAAACCACATAGTCCTCACCAGAACTGGAAATTGTTTTTTTTTTGTTTTGTTTTTTGTTTGTTGTTGTTGTTGGAGATACATGCTTTCAAAGTTTCCATTTCTACCTTCAAAGAGCTCCCAAGCTGGAAGAAGTGATAGGTAGTGGAGCAAATGGGTACTAAGAAACGTATTCAAAGCTAGAAGAAACTGGTGTATGGTATAGGCTAGGTAATAATATTTGTAAAACATCCGTATCCAAATAAATGCGAGGAAATACTAAAATTAAACAATAAGCAAGATGAAAGTGGGTCTAAGATCTGAGAAGGTGGCGATTTTGATGAATGTTTTGGTTTCCATCAATTGACAAGATAAATACCATAGTCTGGGTGGCTGGAGGGGGAAAGTGATCATTCATATCGCTGAGCTGCAAATCCCGTGCAATAGTGGCAAAATATTATGGGAGTAATCAGCCACTTTTTAAATGTGATCTGAGGCTCACTCCATGAGATGGAACCCCTGCCTGACACTGCTAACGTGGTTTAAAATCCGAGCCTAAATAAGTTCTGAACCTTAAGAGAAAAAGCCACCACTATTATTCTGCTAAAGGGATATAGTAATAAAGTTACTTCCAGTGACATATTGCTACACACGTAGATCAGTGTATCACTTAACCCTCCTCAGAGAAGCTTACTATTGTAGTAGATAGTTACTAAGACAGAAACCATAAATGTCAAGAGAGTGAGAAACCTCAGAGCACTCAGTCCTGTATGGGAAGTCTCTATCAAAACGCTCTCCTCAAGGTTCAGGGAATTATATGAAAGAGGTTGCGGGAAAGTTATAGGAGTAAGAGGTGGTAAGATGACTCCTAAAGAGCAGCGTCTTCCAGACACACCAGAGCCAATACAATGTAAACTCGCAGAGACTGACAACATGCATAAAATTTATACAGATTCAAACCAGACAAAAATACCAGCAATCAGAAACATAAAGTCCCACCCCTAACCAATAAATTTGATGCCTTCTGGGAAAAGAAAAATCTCTTTTGTTCCAATGGAATGCCAAAAGTTTATTAACTACACTTCAGAGCAAGTCCCACGCCAGGAGTAATTGTCAAGCACAAACTCACAAAACGAACCATATGATTTTTTTCTGGGTGTTTTTTCATTAATATTTGGTCTTCCTCCCTCCCTCCCTCTCTCCTTTCTTTCTTTCTTTCCTTCTTTCTTTCATCCTTTCTCTTTGCTTCCTTCCTTCATCTTTCATTTCTTTCTTCTTTTCTGTCTTATCTTAATGGGTTTTGGCGTTGGACAGAGAGAGAGAGAGAGAGAGAGAGAGAGAGAGAGAGAGAGAGAGAGAGAGAGAGAGAGAGAGAGAGAATCAGGGAGGAGAAGAAAGAATATGATCAACATATGTAACATGTGTGAAACATTTTTAAGTAAGACAACAACATTTGAGAGAATACAGCTCTGAGGCTGGAGAGAAAGCTCAGCAGTTGCGATTGCTTACTGCTCTTGTAGGAAACTTGAGTTCATTTCCCAGGACACATGTCATATAGTTCCCAGTCACTGCGGTCCCAAGGACCCGACTTCTGCTCTCTGCATTCATATACATATTTACACAGACACACATGTATACACACAATTAAATATAAAAAGTCTTCAAGAAAGAATATTATCTCTAACAGATTCTTCTCCTTCCTCTGTAATCTCATTTAACTCTGGTTACATAGAGACAAAATAAGGCAATGCTGAAGTGCAGGGAGTTTAAAAGTTCACTCAGAAGCTAAATATCACACTACCATATGTGCAACCAATCATTGTTTTGGTTTTCTTCTGTGAATTGAAAATATTTATACAATGAGAGCCTCAGATGATCATCCACAATTGCTAAACCTCGGAAGCAACCAAGATGTCTATCAATAGGTAAATGGATAAAGTGTGGTACATTCATATGCGTAAATTCATAATACTTGGTTCAATGACTTTAGAAACAGAACTAGCAAACCCCAAAAGTCATAGAGGGAATGTATATCTGTAAGTGTGAAAACATAATTCTGAAAAGAATATATTCTGTATGATCCCTTTAGATGATGATCTGGAAAGAGACTGGAGGGAGAGTTGTGTGAACAGGAATAATACAAGGAATTTTTAGGACAGTGAATTTCTTTTTGTATGACATTGGAATGATATATACACAACTAAACACTTGTCAAAGTCTTCGGATCTACACAATACAAAGTGAGGCCTAGCTAGAGGACATCCGTTGTCCTATTCTGATCTTCAGATGCATGCACATACATGCATACACCCCCCCACACACACAATACACACACACACACAAACACACACATATATGTACATACATACATATATACATTTTCACAAACACATGCACAGATATACATAGACACACATGTGGTGATATTTTGTTTGTGCTCTCACAAATAAAGTTCATTTGAAGGTTAGAGTGTGGAGATAGGCACTAGTTAGCCATAGAGGCTAGGCAGTGGTGGCACATACCTTTGATCCCAGCACTGGGAACTTATGCCTTTGATCCAAGTACTTGGGAGGCACACACCTTCAATCCCAGCACTATGGAGGTGGAGACAGGAGTGATATGACTGGGCAGAGAGAAGAATATAAGGTGGGAGGAGACAGGAGCTCAGCCCTTTTTGGTCTGAGGATTTCTTAGAGGTAAGAACGTTATGGCTGACTGTTCTACTTCTCTGATCTTTCAGCTTTCACCCCCTAATATCTGACTCTGGGTTTTGTTATTATTATTATTTCCAGTTAGATTCATGCTACACACACACACACACACACACACACACACACACACACACACACACACACTATCCTGCAAAGATGTGAGTCCCTGAAACAATATGATCTGTTTGTGAAACTATCATCAATTATAGAAAGGGGATTGCTAAGGAATAACTGGAGATGTAACTAGGAATAAGGCAGAGAAGGCTTTCTTGTACAAGTCTTTAGAATATGCTTTAAGAGTTGTATCAGCTGAGATTGGCAATTAATAAAGGGGACCTCCAGTAATGCAGAAGCTTCTGTAAGGCAAAGAATGGGAAAAGATCTTCACCAACCTCACATTTGACAGAGGGCTGATCTCCAAAATATACAAAGAACTCAAGAAGCTAGTCACTAAAACATCAAATAATACAATTAAAAATGGGGGTACAGATCTAAATAGAGAATTCTCAACAGAGGAATCTCAAATGCCTGGAAGGCATTTAAGGAATTGTTCAACATCCTTAGCCATCAAGGAAACACAAATCAAAACAACTCTGAGATACCCTGTCAGAATGGCTAAAATCAAAAACAGCTTATGCTGGAGAGGATGTGGGAAAAGGGGAACTCCTCCATTGCTGGTGGGAGTGCAAACTTGTACAGCCACTTTGGAAATCAGGAAAATGGAAATCTATCTACCTCAAGATCCAGAAATTTCACTCTTGGGCATATACCCAAAGGTTGGACACTTATACTGCAAAGATATCTGTTCAATTATGTTCATAGCAACATTATTTGTAAAAGCCAGAACCTGGAAGCAACCTATATGCCCCTCAACCGAAGAATGGATAAAGAAAATGTGGTGCATATACCCAATGGAGTACTACTCAGTGGAAAAAAATGACATCTTGAAATTACAGGCAAATGTGTGGAACTAGAAGAAACCATCCTGTGTGAGGTAACCCAGACACAGAAAGACAAACATGGTATGTACTCACTCATATATGGATATTAGATAGAGCAAAGGATAACCAGCCTATAATCCACAACCCCAGAGAATCTAGGAAACATGGAGGACCCTTAAGAGAGATTCACAGACCCCTGAGAAGAGGAAAGGGACAAGATCTGAGTAAGTTGGGAGCATGGGGAAGAGGGAGGGAGGGAGGAGAGACAGAAGGAGAGAAAGGGAAGGGGAGGAGAGCTTGAGAGACCAGGAATGTAGAGTTGGGAGAAGGACAGAGAAGGAGATGAAGGAAAGAGACACCTTGAAGATAGAGTCATTATGGAGTTAAAGAGAAATTTGGCACTAGAGAATTTCCCAGGAATCCACAAGGGTGACTCCAGCTAAGAATCTAAGCAATAGTGGAGAAGGTACCTTAAATGCCTTTATCCTATAGTGAGATTGATGACTACCTTAAATGCTATGTAGAGCCTTCATCCAGTAGCTGATGGAAGCACAATCAGAGATGCACAGCCGAGCCCTGAGCCGAACTCTGGAGGAGTCCAGCTGTGGAGAGGGAGGAGTGATGAGCAAAGGGGTCAAGACCATGTTGGGGAAACCCACAGAAACATCTGACCTGAACAAGTGGGAACTCAGGGGCTCCAGACTGACAGCTTCAGAAGTTGCATAAGACAGAACTAGGCCCTCTGAATGTGGGTGTCAGTTGGGGGGCTTGGGCAGTCTATGGGGCTGCTAGCAGTGGAACCAGTATTTATCCCTAGTGCATAAACTGGCTTTTTGGAGTCCATTTCCTATGGAGGGATACCTTGCTCAGCCAAGATACAGTAGGGAGGGCTTTAGTCCTGCCCCAAATGATGTGACAGACCTTGATGATCCCCCCATGGAAGGCCTCCCCTTCTCTGAGGAGTAGATGGAGGGTGGGCTGTGGAGACAGTGGATGAGTGGGAGAGGGAGATTACTGGAATTGGTATGTAAAACAAGATTGTTTATAATTTAAATAAAAAAGAGTTGCATCAGTATTCATCATCTAGGAGGAGAGGAGCCAAGACTTAACAAAAATATATTGGACTATTGTAGCATATAGATTCTAAGTTCTATGTCTCTCCTCTCTGTGGTCCTCTTACCTTGAGCATGGAGCAGTGTTCTTGACTGGCTTTTAACAGAATAGCCTAGAAGTGATTGTGTACAGCCACATTATGATGGTAATGCCTAAGGAGAGAGATTATTATATATTCTGTGTGGAGTATGTCCACAGGGCAGTGTTAATGTGTGAGGACGAACTGTATGCTCTCTAAGTTCTGCTAACACCCACAGGAGAGTCTCCATGCTTGCTTGATGAAGTCCAATGTTGTGAAACCTAGAGTCGAAGAAACTATGAGGAAATCCAGCTGTTGCCAGCCTCTCTAATCAGTTCAGTGTAAGAACTTGTAGCAGGGGCCCTGTGAAGAGTAAGCACAGGAGATTAGTTTTCCAGGAAGCTTGATTACATGATGGGTGATTGCTTTCTTTGAATCTTAGAGGAGATTGCCTCACTCATTGCTACCTGAACTGTAAAATTAGGGAAACATCTAACACAAATACATACCATGTGTTGATACTTTGTTAGATTTTTGTTGCTTAGTAGGAAGAGAGATGAAGGCTTTGATCTCCTAGGTCACAGTACAAAGGGGAGACGCATGTTAAGACTTGCCACCATATTTAGTATCACCATTTGGGAGAGGGGTAGACTGAGGCAGAGACTCAAGAATTAGTGACTCTGAGAGGAAGGGCTATACACTCCACAGGGAGATTTTATGCTTGGAAGTGTGGGAAGCAGCAAGAAAAATGGAGAGAAATCTCTGCGAAGATGAGCCAGAGCATAGAAGAATTTTAAGAAGAATGACAGAGAAGGACTAATAGAGAGGAGGATCCCACAAAACAACAACAACAGCAAAAACAAATTCAGAAGTTCTGTCACAAGAAAGCAGACCTAGGAAGCAGGTGTTTGGTGTCCATATTTGAACTGAGTGAGGTTTGTCTTGTTTGAGTAATGGCAGAAGAAACTAAGGGGGTGAGAATGAGAATTGAAAGTTATTTTAATAGCTCTTTTTGAAATTTTAAAGATTATTTATGTTTTGATATTTTGATATAATACATTTCTTCCTTTCCCTTTTCTCTCTCCAAGCCCTCCCCTCCCATACACCTTCACTTTCACATTTATGACCTTTTTAAAAACTAATTGTTGCTATCTATCTATCTATCTATCTATCTATCTCTGAATACACAGCTCCAACCTCAGTTTGCATATTACTTGTATGTATATTTTCAGTACAGAAAACCATATCCAAACAAAATGTGTAGCTGTGGAGTCCAGTCCCAAGGAATAATTCTACAATACTATTCCCATACCTAAGACTCAGAAAGTGCACAAAACTTAAACCCAAATGGATCAAAGACCTCAACATAAATCCAGCCACACTAAACCTCTTAGAAGAGAAAGTGGGAGGTATGCTTGAATGAATTGGTGCAGGAGACCTCTTCCTGAACATGACTCTAGTAGCACAGACACTAAGATTGACAATTAATAAATGGGACCTCCTGAAACTCAGAAGCTTCTATAAAGCCTAGGACACAGGCAACAAGACAAAAAGGCAGCCCACAGAATGGGAAAAGATATTCATCAACGCCACATCTGACAGAGGACTGATCTTCAAAATTTACAAAGAATTCAAGAAAAAAGTCTCCAAAACACCAAAGGATCCAATTAAAAAGTGGGGTACAGAACTAAATAGAGAATTCTCAATAGAGGAGTCTAAAATGGCTGAGAGACACTAAAGAAAGTGCTCAACATCCCTAGCCACCCGGGAAATGCAAATCAAAACAACTCTGAGATACCATCTTACTCCTGTCAGAATGGCTAAAATCAAGACCACTAAGGACAATTTATGCTGGAGAGGTTGGGGTGAAAGGGGAACACTCCTCCACTGCTGGTGGGAGTGCCAACTCATACAACCACTTTGGAAATCAGGAGGGAGATTCCTCAGGAAAATGGGAATCAGTCTACCACAAGACCCAGCAATTCCACTTTTAGGCATATACCCTTCATACAATAAGGTCATCTGTTCCACTATATTCATAGCAGCATTATTTGTAATAGCCAGATCCTGGAAGCAACTGAGATGCCTCTCAACTGAAGAGTGGATAGAGAAAATATGGTACATTTACATGATGAAAGTACTACTCAGCGTAAAAAAATAGTGGAATCTTGAATTTTCACAGCTGAAGATAATTTAATTGTGTATGCACCACATTTTCACTATATGATACTATTATCATTGTAAGACATTTATTTTTAACTGACTTGATTTTGTTCGTGTGTGTGTGTGAGAGAGAGAGACAGACAGAGAGAGAGAGAGAGAGAGAGAGAGAGAGAGAGAGAGAGAGAGAGAGAGAGAGATGCCTCACTTAAGAAGGAGTTTCTTGACCAAGGTTGAAAGCTGTGTGCAAATCTATTGGCATGACATATTTAGAACGCAAACTGACAACAGTAAGTTCCTCTAGTACCTGTCACTTTATAGTCACACATGTTTTCCTTTAGCATATCCAGAATCTACTAAAAAAAAACCTTGTGACTGATCATTTTTGTGTAAATAAACAAATAGTTTGTTAATTCATTTCTCATTACTCTAAAAGTTTACATTATACATAAAAGCAAGAGATGTAAATTTCTGGGGTCATTTTATTGGGTGTTTTGGATTTTGAAGAACTGTTAATTCATTGCAGAGACTGCATTGTTTTTGCACTGAGTGGTACTGCTTCTCAGTGGGAATGCATCATTTTCAAGATCCATCTGGCATAAGGGTGAATTTCAGTGAAGAAGCCTAGACTCCCCTTGGTTATGCCTGCTTTCCCCCAGGACAATATCCCATGAAGCCTCCCGTTGCAGATGGCTGGAGCAGCAGAGACCTCCTGACAAGAAGAAGATAACAAGACGTCAATGTCACTTTGTTGTCATGGATCTAGAGTAAATACTAAGACATGGCATGTAGCAGTAGCAAAATCATTAAGGGGAATGTATTCCTTCTATGGAAGAGGTGACAACTTTTGCTTCAATCTGCTCTATAGTCTCCCTTTGTCATTCAAACTTTATCTAACCTGAGTGCAAATAGGAGAAAGGACAAATTTGTCTACCCTAGATCTCTTCCACTTTTTTTCTTTTTAAATTTAAATTTAAATTAGAAGCAAAGGTGCTTCACATGTCAATTCCAGGTCCCTCTCCCTTTCTCTCCCCTCCTCCTACGCCCTCCCTCCAACCCTTCCAATATCCCCTCATTTCCCCAGGGAGGGTGAGGCCCACCATGGGGTGTCCATAGTCTGTCATTTCATCCAGGGCAGGGCCTAGACCCTCCCCCGAGAGTCCAGGGTGAGAGTTCATCTCACATTGTTGGATGGGAGTCCAAAGTCCATTTGTATACCTGGGATAAATACTGATCTACTGCCCAAGGCTCATGGGGAGAGGAATGAAGTACATTGCAGAAGGAGCAGTAGGGAGAGGGACTTCAGCTTTCTGTCCTTCATTTTGTGGGAGGTCTTTTTGATATGTGATGTTTGATTTACCAACCATACCTCTCTCTTCTAACAGATTCTATACTCTCTTCTTGCATGGATAAAGGAAAGATACCTTAATTGAAGTTATGACATTAAGTGAACGTCCTATGCACATGATGTTCATCCTTGTTTCCTGTTTCTGTTTTTGGAGAGTGTTCCAGCAGTCGTGTGGGGAAAGCAAATACTGATTTGTCCATGTCAGGACGTCAGGATCGCTGACTGTGGAAAAGAAAAGACAGATGACATCCAGAGCTGTTCTGATGAGTGACCTTGTGGCAAGACCTTAGTTTGTGAATCAATTAATCCCTGAGAATATCCAACGCAGTCCTTCCTAGAGTTGTTCCTCAGGCAGAATTTACATATTGGAGAAATAGATCCCAAAGTTTCTCATCTTCCTATCACTAGATGTATAGTTCTGTCTACCATACATAATCCAAAGGTTTTTAAACAATTGTATACAGATTATGAATGTCCATAAAGAAAAATAAAGACTTCGGTCTCCAAAATCCCTACTATAACCTTTTGCTTTGCATCTATTTCATCATCTTTATATTTTATCTCATAAGAAAACGTATATAAAATTACTCTTTTAAGCTTTATTATTTATTCACTGTGAGGGTATGCATGCATGTATGTATGTATGTATATGCTATGTGTTTACATAATGGTGAGCCGTGAAGGTCAAAAGACAGCTTGTGGGATTCAGTTCTTTGCTTCCACCATGCAGGCTCTGGAGACTGAATGCAGACCATCAGTTTTGGTGGTAAGTGCTTTTTCCTGAAAAGTCATCTTGCCAGCCCCCAAGTCCAGTCATGCTTCACTTAAAGATGGATGTGTTCTGAGCATTGTATCACTAGACAATGCGTACTCACACAAATCGAAGTGGTAGAGCTCACTACCTATTCAAGCTATATTTTAGTCTTTCCCTCCTAGGTTATAATCCTGCTCAGCATGTTACTGCAGTGGGTATTGTCACACAGTGGTAGCGACTTGTCTATCTAAACATGTGTGACCATAGAAAAGTATGGTAGAATACTGTCACTAGGAACTTTTAAGCTGCAAATTGCATTTTGTGGAGATGCTGTCACACATCTCTCCTCATTCTCTGAAACACCATTATGTTGTTCTTGGCTATAAAGTGATCATTTGCAAATTGCTATTTCCATGCATGTGTATCTATGTAGAATGCACATACACATTTGTTCATATTGCTCATTTTCATCATAGAAGTTGCTACTATATTGTAATGTCTGGGCACAGGGACTTTAACCAAGGGACTAAGTGTTTTAATCTCTATTAAAGAGTAATAAGAAAAAATCAACACTGTGGTACCTAAAAGGCTGATAGTATATCTAGCAAGATAGTGCTCTATATAATAGATCAAAACATGTTATGTCAGAAGAGAGGGAGAAAGAAGTTATGTTCAGTTTAGTGTATTTAAGTTTTATGGAAAAAATCACTTAACAAGTTATGTGAAAGCAACTTAAGTTACTTGAAATAAAGATTTCCTTTTAGATATTGGGACCTTTGTAGCAGAAATCTTTTAGAGATAGTCTGTTGTGGTTATTTTAATATACAGATCTGACAAAATAAAGTCTTCATGTAGTGTAGTTTACTTTGTTTCAACAGATACCTAAGGCTGGGTGGTGGTGGCGCCTGCCTTTAATCCCAGCACGCAGGAGGCAAAGGCAGGCGGATCTCTGTGAGTTCAAGGCCAGCCTGGACTACACAGCGAGTTTCAGGACAGTCTCCAAAGCTACAGAGAAACCCTGTCTCAAAGCAAAACAAAAAGTCAAATGGTACCTAATAAATTAGTTTTGTAAAGTGTGATTACTTAAAATAAAGCTTAAAAAGTCAATGACAAAACCCACATGAAATGTATTTTTCATTTGTTATTTTTTTAGAAAGCCTAGACACTTAGATTCCTAATCAGTTTGTTTCTAAAGTACAGAGTTTCAAAATACTGAGAAAATCAAAGCTTTTATAGTTTGTGTTGTGAAAAATGTTTATTTGCAAAGTCCTCATTTTATTCTCTGTTGCAGACACCAGAAGCTGGGTTTAAACCTGACTAAGCAAGTTTGAGAAAATCTAAAACTAGCATAACATACAAGTAGTCACTATAGAGCCAGCAAGGACACGAGAGAGCCACATTTGAAGAGAAGCTCTTGCAGATATCAGTTCACTCTGTTCTTTCCAAGTTGGGCCCATAAGGCAGAGGGATGCATGCATGCACTATGAACTGTGATTATTTTCCCATGAGATATGCCAATCTAGAGATACAACTACAAGCATGCTATAATAAACTAGTCTATGAACCACCCAAGTCTACACCCACAAGTGAGGAACTTTCCCTTGTGACACAAGTCATGAAAATTATACTCTGTAAAGAACCAGCCATGGCAAGAGCATAGATTGCCACTTCAAATATTTCTCTGTCATTCAGTGCCCAATGGAAAGAATGTGTCCTCTGCTCCTGGACACAGCCTGAAAGTTCTGTGGTCGCATGTTGAAGGCATCCTTCATACTATCACAAAAAGATTTGCTTTGCTTTTTCTAACCCCTCTCCTAAGAAGTGCATGATAGGCTTTCAGCAATTCTCACTGAGGAGTCCACCTTCTACCTCCAATACCATCTTTATCAGTCGGGACTCCCTGTTCTCTCTAATTCGTTTGTATTCAGTTTGCTAGCCCCAGCTCTCAAATATTTTAAAGACAGAATAATCACCGCCTGCCCTATACGTTGCTATCAGAGTAGATTCCCTGTATCAGTCTAATGAGTTTATATGTCACCTCCTGGGAGCAAGAAGTTTGAAGGTAATTGCCATAGGATTAAGAACTTTATATTTCCTCTTTCTAGCAAGTATATTCAACCACATATTTCCCCAGCCCCGACCTTCCCAAGATGAAGAAAACAGTCAAACACTCACCGTTATTGTAGCTGTTCCAGGTCCATGTTGGTATAAAGCAGGTTTCATTAAATGTCATGGCTTCCATAGCTATGGCTATGGTTCCCACATGCATATTGATAGCAGCAGGATAAGAGAGTTTTATCAGCATCAGGTCATTTTTCCGCAAATTTGCGTCAAAATTAGGATGGACTACAGTCAGTGAGTAAGTATATGTCTGCTCTCTCTCATTTTTGATGGTGGGTTGATGAACTCCCAGTCGGATTTTAGCTCTTGGGGGGAAAGGAAAGGCAGAGGGATGAGATGGAAGAGGAAACAGTCACATAATGTCAGAAGTCACCTTATCCAATCAACTTAGTTTCACTTTTCAGCTGCATAACTGAAAAATTGTGCATGAAGTAATAGTTTGCAGGATTGTTATGTCATCAGCATGCATATGAAATGACCAACATGGGATCCAATATCTACAGCATACTCAATAGCTCCTATTCTAAGATTTGAATAACCTGAGCTAACAGCCGGTAGAGAAGTCATCGCATTTGATGGCTTCAGAGCTCTTTGTATACTCCATATTTACTCAGGCAGGTTTTGAACCTGCGCCTACTGCTTCTAACATTCTTAGTCTATCCAGTGCTCTTCTCAAGACTATATAATTATTTTTTATATGCATTTTCCACACTGATCCAAGATTCTCAAATTTCCATGAGTAGTTTTGTAGAGATAACAAGTCGTCATTTCCTCTTATAGTCTCTAGGCAAATTCAAGATGGCCGTCACAAGGAAGCTAGTCATGCAACCTACCAAGAGTCATTTCCTACCAAAAGCAGTTCACGGTAGTGACAGAAAGTCTGATCATGAGCCTCAGGATCATGTGACCTGCTTTTGTTTCCTGTGTATCTGTCCTAACGCAGAGAGCAAGCCTTCAATCTCGGTTGAATCAAACTTGTCTTGAACAATCGATAGCTAAGAGTGGTAAGTTTGAAATGGAGCTGAAGCTCTGGTTCAGACTCCCTCATTCAATACATTCCTTTTTCTTTTTCTAAAAAAAAATATTTTCTCTTATTTGATGTGTATAAGTGCTTTGCCTGCATGAGTGTGTGCACACTTCATATGTGAAAGTGTTTGTGGAGGTCAGAAAAGGACATCAAGCCCCCCTTGGAACTCTGAGTTACAGGTGGCTGTGAGTTCTGTGGAGAGATGAATGATGAGTGCTGAGTGCCGTGGAATCTAATCACGCCCTCGTGCAAGAGCAGCAACTGCTGTTAACTGCTGAGCTGTCTCTCCATCCCCTCAATGGATTCTTGATACCCAACCAAAAAAAAAATCCCGAGATTCTCAGAAAAACAAAGCCCAATGTTCTCCCTCTTATGGGGATCCTAGCTAGTATTGCATACATGTAGATATGTAAACACACACATACTTGGTTATAGAATAATATTTAGAAAGAAGAACAAGGAAGATTAGTAGTGGGTGGTGAAGTGTGAGAGAGGATACGAAGCTACTTTTCCCCTCCTAATTCTGTTTTGACTTTTTTTTCCTTGTAAGTGCACAAACCTGTGATCGATAAAGAAATCCCAAAGCCCTAAGTGAAGCTGTCTGGCTCAGCGTGGCCACTCTAAACGTTTAGAACTTAAATGGAGACGTGGGATTTAGGACTGGGCAGTGTTTCTTTGAGAGACTGTTAATCTGTGTGATAATTTTATTTGTGGTTTCACTGCAATAAGATGATCGAAAAGGTGCGTTTTCAAGAGATGCTTTATGTCATACAGAGCATCCTTGCTTTCTCTTGGTTTTTCCTGCAGGATGTGATCTCTGTGTTCGACTTCATTCTGTGACCACCTCCCTTAAACCACATACTGTTACCCCTGCCTCCTCAGTGTTCTAAAACCCTCATGCCTTTTTTTTATCCGTTACTACTCAGTGTTGCTCCCTTGCCCTGGCACATTTCGAGGCTTTATTCATCTAGCTGACTTGTTTTATTCCTGCTGGCCTCAGATCTTAGAGATGCCTCACACGCACCCCCCCCATACATCGTATACATTGTTCCCATACCCCACACCTTGCTGTCCGGTTTTATTCTTTATTTTTCAATCACTCCTCTCTGCTATGGATTACTTCTTGTATCAGAATGTAAGCTCCATGAAGAAAACTTACTTCTGTCTTGTTCCCTCAAGGGTCATACTAAGCAGCCTAATAAATGACTGGCGAATGTTTACAGAAGAATATTTGAAATACGCTTTCTAAGACTTCTTATTGAGTTCTGTACTGAAGTGGGTAATGGATCATCTAATTCCACGAAAAGCCAGGAAGGCGGCTTCCCAGACCAACTTCCATAGCATAGACCCCTCCCAGCTCCCATGACTAAGGAGCCACTTACGGTAAGGAACAATGAGCGGCAGTGAGTACCCACTGATGGTCAATGAGAGTCCCCACACAAGGTTCTGGCTTGGATTGCAAATAGGCCATGTAAGGAATGTTAAAATCATCTGGTAAGTTTTCATCTGAGTCTTGATATTCTCCTAAAGTGACTTCTGGAGAATTAGGGATTGGGGACGGAAAAAAAACACAAAAAGTTTAGTAAGCTAGTGTTGGTTAGGGTAGTTTTATCTAGCCAACATTTTTCAGAGATATCAGGTCTTTTATTTTTGACATTTAAAAAATTCATAGAAAACAATGTGTCATAAAAACTATACATATTAGGAAACTAATGACTGTTTTTGTTGAGATGGAATTATAGCAAAATTATCTGATACTAATACATGAATTCATCTGATGCTGATCAAAAATTCTGGCAGCACTGTATAATAGGAAAATGAACAAAATCAATAAGTACTTTAAATATTAGTTCTTAACATTAACCTTTGCCAGTAGTTGGGGTATAAATGAAATACTTTTTGACTTTGGTAGTGGGAGAGCATAGAAATTCAAATTTATAATTTATAGACTTTCTGATTAGCCCACCTCCTTTCTGGACCCAAATTTCCTAACATCAATATGGGAAAAGGAGTGGTGGTTGTGCAGGGGAAATCTTGCACTCAAGTGTCTACTGAGGAACGCCTAGGGATGACTCTATAAAACCTCGTGGGCAGGGTATTCAAAATGTTCCCAGACATCACAGGGACCCAGAGAGTATACTGATAGGAAAATATGTGAAATAAGAGTCTCTTTTTGTCTTCCTTCAGAAAGCTAATTTTATCCTTAAAATGATTCCCCAGTTAGCACTCTATCTCACAAGCTGTGGGATGGTTATGCCATCTTGCAACCACTGGTACACTGCTCTGGATTTCACCCTAGGCAGAAACTAGACTAGAAACTCACCTGCTGCACCCAAGAGAGTGAGGATGAGAAAAATCTTCATGGCAAGCTATGATGTCACCAGAGCAGACTAGGTGGCCACACTGTAAATTGTCCCAACTTGGAGACCTCACACCTTGACCAGAATGTCTGGAGAAGAAACACTATGGCAGGAGGCAGTAGACAAAGGTCTTATGAAAACCTTCAAACTATTTTCTCAGGGTCTCATCTATCAAGACGTATGGGCGTCACCAGGATCCGAGTCTGATGTGGCTGCAGAGCAAGACCCAGCGCTGGCCTTGGTGCTTCCTGTGTGACACTAAAGCCCTCCCCAGCCATCACATGTGCCTGCTGACCTCTTTCCTGCCCCCTCTTTGTGACATGACTTTTCTTTGTTGACTCCCCAGCCTCCCGCTTGTGACTTCAACCTGCCTCCCTGGGCACCTTGGCCTTCGCAGAGTCTCTCAAAACATTGATGGACCCGCTCACCAATAATACTCTTTAGACTTCTCCCCTCCCTTTTGTGCTGAGGAGCCTTACAGCCCTTACAAAAGCCAGTTCCCTTGTTCTCCTTCAGCAAATCTCTAAGCTTTTATCTTCTCACCAGGCCAGACATATTCAGACCTTCCAAACTCTCTTTACTGTTCATCATACATAATGAGGAAAGATAGCGTATTTCCTTAAAATTGCCTATCTTTAAACATTTTTTCTTCAGCTAATTAGGGATTTTATGTTAATTGTGAAACAACCCCTACTCTGAATTTGGCCATCAAAAACTTACTTAATCACCAAACTCCAAAAACTACCTGCTGACATCATTTGGTTGGAATAATAAATGAAGCCAATTTGCTACCCTTTTCACTCTTCGTTATTTTGTCCACTGCTTTTTTTTTTCAGAATGAACCATGTTTTTTTTAATGAGAAAATCTGACATGATAGTTTCCTGATTTATTACCACCCCTCCCCAAGACAGGAAACCAGCAATAGGGAGTCACCTTTACTTTTTTATTGAGGATTTTATAAATTTATATAATGACATATGATCATAGCCACCTCCCCCCACTTCTCCTTTCCAGCTCTTGCCCCTCTCAACAAAACAAAAAGAGGTAGTTTAGTGACAACTAAGGAAATAATACTGAGGCCAGTCGTGATTGCACATTTATCAGCCTATTGGTTTCACAGTTAAGATTTCTTTAGCTTCATCCTAGGGGCAATAATAATATTACATTTGAACCCAGAGATTGTCTAGTCAGATACTGGCAAGAATTAAAAATGGCTAGACCAAGAGTCATGGTGTAATCATTAGCCTGTTAATATTAACCCGCAGATAAGATGGTACAAAGAGAGGAGGCTTGGAAAGTAATTACGCTTAAGTTAGGTGGGGAAGGTGGAGGTCCCACGACGGAGTGTTTGCAAGGTGGAAGGACCAGAGGTAGCTTGTGTGACCACATAAGGATACAGTTACATGAGGTATGAGAACATACCAGAAAATCAGGGCACAAGTCTTCCCAGGACCTTTCATTGCCTTGATCTTGGACTCAGCTGCTTTCAAAAACATGAGATAGATGTCTTTTTTTAATCCCTTGGATCTGGTGTTTTGTCATGGCTACCTGAGCTGACACATACATTATTTTCATTATTTTATCTTATCACCAGGGTGGACTGCATTTCCTTGTTCAAACCTACTCCATTTATTCAGTATCTGGCTCAGACACTGCCCCTCATTATTTCCTTTCCATTGGGTCATCCCAGATGACCACGGGAATCGTGATTTTACTGCAGATCATTCTTTGGATGATTGGTGAGGTAATGATGATTTGAGAGTCAGTAAGAAACTAAAGATATATATATATATATATGTGTGTGTGTATATATCTTTATATAGAGATAGATAGATATAGTGAGCATGTGTGTGAGAGAGAGCGCGAGAGAGAGAGAGAGAGAGAGAGAGAGAGAGAGAGAGAGAGAGAGAGAGAGAGAGAGAGAGAGAGAGAGAGAGAGAGAGATATGAGGGAGAGAGTGTTGAGGGAGAGGGAGACATTCATTCCCTTCTTAGGCTGAACTAAAAACACAGATAGTCACCACATTAGGAATTTAGATTTCAAATGTTTATACACTCACCATTTAAAATTTTATCTTTAGTTAATTTAGCACACAATCTAGGCTGATTTGGTGAGATGGGTTTGGCGTAGATCATTGCTAGAGATCATGGCTACTCTAGTAGCGTGATCAGATTTCCATTATTTGGATCAATACCTAAGATAATTTGATGACTATCTGTATTTGCTCATGATTTCAGGGGTCAACAGTTTGGGGCTACATTTACTCTGGGTCATGTGAGGCGTGATGGTGACAGGAACATGTGGCAGAAGGCATTCACCTAAATGTGACGGGAATAGTAGAAAGGAGACCAGACTAGGGACTGTGTAAATTCTACAAGATACACCTTCAGGACTATTAGATTTCCTCCAGTTAGGCCTTAGTCCCTAGAAATTCCACCAAACAAATATCCAAGACTGAAACCATAGCAAGGAGTAATACACCTTTGGAAGGCAAGATCTTGGAGAATGCAGACATACTGGTGGGTGAAGCTTAGGAAAACAGAGAGAAAAACTGTTATAAAATAAAAAGGAAATGGCACCACCTTGTCACATAAGCATCAATTCTTTGGGGATGAGGCCAGTCAGGGTTTTGTTTTGTCTTTATTGTAAATTAATGACTTTTGGCAATTGATTTTTTAACTGAATTTTGGCATCATTGAGTTCTATAACTTAAGCTACATGGTAGGCATGACTAAATGATCACTGTAGTAAAATTTCTCTCACATATTAAGAAATACCTAATTATTTTTTAAAAGGATAGTGGGAACAGTAACCTTATTCATTTTCATTACAGCAATGTTCAAAGAGTTTCCCATATGTCAAATGATCAGTTAGTTTTTATTGATAAGGTTGAATAAATGATGAAAAAATCCTTCAAATTCCATAAAATAGTTCAACATTCTGCTCACTTTCTCATTTACCATTATTTTTTAATTTTGACCTGTTTTATACTTTAATAATTTATACATGTATTTACTGTTTTATATTTTATTTTTTTCTGATTTTTAAGAGTATAATATACTTATTTCTGTTTTCCATTTCCTCTCTCCAAAGAGTTCTATATACCTTTCATCACTCTCCTTCAAGTTCATGGTTTCTCTTTTTGCTAATTGCTATTGCATGTACATATCTATATGTTTCTAGATATACATTCTTGAATATAACCTGTTTTGCCTATATAAAATCATTGAATTTTCATCCCCATTATCTTTTTATTCTCCTATCATATTCTTCAAAAAATCTTACTTATGTTGTTTTTTAATTTTTTATTTAAATTAGAAACAAGCTTGCTTCATATGTCAATCTCACATCCCTCTTCCTCCCCTCCTCCCCCCACTCCTTCAACCCCCTCAACCCCTCACCCAATCCCCACTCCATGCTCCAGGGAGGGTGAGGCCCTTCATGAGGGACCCCCAAAGTCTGTCATATCACCCAGGGCAGGGCCTAGGCTCTCCCCCATGTGTCCAAGCTGAGAGGGCATCCCTACATGTGGAATGGGCTCCCAAAGTCCATTTGGAAGACAGGGATAAATACTGATCTATTGTTCGAGGCCCCAAAGAATGCCGAGGCCTCCTCACTGACACCCACATTCCGGGGATCTGTATGAGTCCCATGCTGGCCTCTCAGTTATCAGTCTGGGGTCCATGAGCTCCCACTTGTTCAGGTCAGCCATTTCTGTGGGTTTCACCAGCATGGTCTTGACCCCTGTGCTCTTCACTCCTCCCTCTCTGCAACTGGTTTCCAGGAGTTCAGTTCAGTGTTTAGCCGTGAGTGTCTGCTTCTGCTTCCATCAGCTGCTGGGTGAAGGCTCTAAGATGGCATACAAGGTAGTCGTCAATTATCGGGGAAGGGCATTTAAGGTAGTCCCTTGACTACTTCTTAGATTGCCAGTTGGTGCCATCCTTGTAGATCTCTGGAAATCTCACTAGTGCAAGATCTCTCCTCACACCTATAATGGCTCCCTCTATTATGGTTTCTCTCATCCTCCTCTCCCCTATTCTTCCTCCCGACTCATCCTTCCTGCTCCCCCATGTCCTCATCTTCCCTCCTCTTCTCCCCCTCTCTTTCTCCAAGTTCCCTATCCCCTCCCCCATGCTCCCAGTCCCTTCAGGAGAAGCTGACATGTTCCCCTTCTTTGGGGTACCATGTGTATCTCTATTAGGGTCCTCACTGTTTCCCAGACTCTCTGGCAGTATGGATTGTAGGCTGGCACTCCCGTATTTCATGCTTAAAATCCATATATGAGTGAGTACATACCATGTTTGTCTTTTTTGTGACTGGGTTACCTCACTCAGGATGGTTTCTTCTAGTGTCATTCATTTGCCAGCAAATTTCAAGATTCCATTTTTTTTTCTGCTGGGTAGTGCTCCGTTGTGTAAATGTACCACACTTTCTCTATCCACTCTTCAGTTCAGGGGCATCTAGGCTGCTTCCAGGTTCTGGCTATAACAAATAGTGCTGCTGTGAACATAATGGAACAGATGTCCTTGTTGTATGAATTTGCATCTTTTGGGTATATGCCTAAGAGTGGAATTGTTGGATCTTGTGGTAGACTGATTCCCATTTTCCTGAGGAATCTTCATATTGATTTCCAAAGTGGCTGTACAAGTTGGCACTGCCACCAGCAGTGGAGGAGTGTTCCCCTTTCTCCACATCCTCTCCAGCATAAACTGTCATTGGTGTTTTTGATTTATTTTTTTAAAACTCATTGAGTTTAATTGTGGTTGCTGCCATGCATAGGAACTTATTTACTGGAATCTGGGCAATTTATCAGTAGCTGCAACACTGAAGATAATGGCACCTTTTTATCAGCAAGTTTGAAGAGAAAGTTTATCATTACCAAACAAAGACAGTATGTAGACAAATATATAGAAAAATATAATGTCTTTATTTCCATACCCATCTCAGGCACAGTAGGAAAGTGAAGTTGACTATGAGAGGGTGGCTCAGGAGGGATACTTAGTTGGCCTCAATGGTCCGTTGAATCCAGTCCAGGTAGTTGCACACTCTGGTGTATACCCCAGGTTTCCCTTTCTCACCGCAGCTGCCACCCCAGGAGACAACACCTTGCAGTTCTTCATTGCAGACCACAGGGCCGCCAGAATCATACTGAACAGAAGAGAAAGATAACCAGTGTTCAGAGAATGTGAGGTTTGATGTGGCCCTTCATTATCCTGGGTTATTTCTCAAGTCCTTCAAATGGCACCCACTCTGCTCCTGGAGATTCAGCGTGCAGTGTCATTATTATTATCCTTATTTTTGTATTGTACTACTTCTTCCTGTCACAGACCTGTAAAGGCTCTAAAGGGTGAAGACTGGAAAGATCTAAGATTGTCCAATCAGGTCTGCCTTTCCACAAGCGCTCCCTGCAATACATCTCAGAAGTTTGCCTATGTGTATTGTCTGGGCAGTCTTACCACCAATTTTGGCCATCATGTCACAAACAGAAAACTTTTCATGCTCAAGTTTTCAGATTCAACCTCAGAAAAAAAATTAGTTATATTTTTGCATGTGTACATGGGGTGTGCATGCACATGTGTTTGTGTTTTTGTCAGTTTCTGTGTAAAGGGAAGGACGTGTGTGTGTGTGTGTGTGTGTGTGTGTGTGTGTGTGTGTGTGTGTGTGTGTGTGTGCAGCGTCTGACGAATGTCTGAAGTTGATACTGGCTATCTTCCTTTACTGTGCTCCATTTTTATTTCTCAAGACGGTCTATCATTGCTCTTAAAATTGTTGATCTCTGGAGCTCTACTATTCAGCTTGCTCCGGAGATCCCCTGTCTTTGCCTGCCAAGTGTCAGCATCACAACTGGCTGCTGTGCCGGTCAGCTTTTACGTGGATTCCGGAGATCCAAATTTCAGCCGTGGTCCCTGCGAGGTAAGTGCTTTATCCACTGAGTCTGCTCTCAGATACCGAGGCACAGCCTTTTGCATTTCATGTGGAGAGATACGTTGACAGGGACGAGACTGTCTGGACAGAGCAGGGAAAAGAAACGCACCTGGCAAGTATCTTTTTCCTCGTCTAGGAAGCCGACACAGAACATGTTCCTTGTGATGTGGTGTGGGTAGGCGGTGTGGCAAACGGGGTCCGACAGGATGGAGGCATTCAGACAGTGAAGATCTGAAGACAAGCTGTCTGTGAGTGAAGAGCAGAAACGGAAAAGCATCCATAGTGTCCCGCGGTATTTCTTTCCCGCCCTCTCTCCCCTCTCATAATACTTCCTGTGTCTTTCAGCTAGGCTAGGCCTTAGAATTTGGGAGGATTGTTTTTTTTTTTCCCTAGAAGATGTCCCAAATAGCTCTAACCAACACGTTCTTTCTTTGACACAAAATTTTAGTGGAGTCAGATCTGAAGTCCAGAGACCTGAAGTTGAGTTCCCTAGGCTGAACTGAATCTCTTAATGTCCTATGTTTCACCCAGTGTCTAATGATATAATTAATCACCAATCATACTTAAATTCATTGGTGCCATTCTAATAGTTCACTTTTACTTTATCTTCTATATGATCTCAGCAAAACAAACTTTTAAACATTGAATGGCATATTCCAAGACTGTCTGTGTCCAAAGTTATCTTAAGGAGAACATGCTTAAAGTGAGAATTTGGACCAGGTGACACTGTCCTGCCTTCCATTTCTGGGACTTCTCACATTTGCAACTTATGGTCTATGTAACACTTACTTCCAATGCTCACTGTGTCACCCCAGCCTGACACAAGGCACTCGGTACCAATAGATGGACAGGAGCTTGGCAGAGAGACAGTAGACACGTACGAGTTGATGGCGGCTGGTGAGTTCAGTTTAATCAGCATGATGTCGTTGTCAGTGGTATCGTTGTTGTACGTGGGGTGGGGGATGATCTTGCCTGCGTTAATAATTTGTTCACCACCCTCAATTTCGTTAATGTTGAATTCTCCCAGACGAACCTGTATTTGGCTAGATTTATAAGGGTTAACGGTTTTCTACGTATCCTTCTAAAGTATCCTATCTTTAATCATGAACATAAACACAAACACCATCTTATCACTTTAGGTAGCGGCAGTTACTCCTAGCCATAGTTAGAGAGTCCCTAATGCGTCACTGCTAGTGCACACTCAGAGCCCATCTCACTAGAATTCAAGGCAGAAGACAGAAAAAGGTGCCCCCTACCAAACAGTTGGTGGTGAAAATGGGATTGGAGAAGATTGAACGGGTTGAATGGAGAAGATGGAGTATCAGTTGAACCTAATATTTCTCTTCTGGTTGTGATCACAAAGTTTAACAGGGAAATGAGGAAGGAGTCAGAGATGGAAAATATTTAGAGCACAGAACAAATTCTCCTTTTTCATGCTATAATAGAAATATGGCACATTTTATTACTTCATATGGCATTTTTATAATCACAGTTGAGAAACAATTGTTGAGACATTGTGTATGGTTTCAGGTAACTTCATCATTTAGAAAAATATCTGTAAAATTCAAGGGCAACATCTGTTATCACTCATAAAATTCCTATGATCACTAAGATATCTAGCTTCCTTCCTTCCTTCATTTATTTATTTCTTGATCCATCAAATGGGTTGGCAAAATGGCTCAATAGCTAAAGGTGCTGGCTCTTAAGCCTGTGGCCTAAGATTGATTCCAGGGACTCATAGGGCGGAAGAAAAAGAAAAGCCAACAGCTCTGGAACTTGTCCGCTGACCTCCTCATGTGCCTCCCCCAGAGTAACTGAAAACCGTAAAATTTGTTTTACTCATTAAGGATAACTGACTTTTTCTTGTTTATTCTTTTGCAGGCTAAAGGAGAAAATGACCCTAGACTTAGGAGTGTGAATATTGGATACTTACGGCTTATAGCAGTGAGCGGCAGTCAGAACCCACTGGTCACTGACAAGAGAGCCCCCACACAAGTGGTAGCCAGCGTTCAGGGATACCTGGTAGGGGACTGAGTTTTTCTTACATGTGTAGCTTCCAATAATCGTGTCATCGCTCTCAGTAGTGGGCTCATCTTTCTCATTAGTGGGTTCATCATTCTCATAAGTAATGTCATAAGTCTCATTAGTGGGGATAGCAGCTGTTAAGGGGAAGAGGCAGAAACTCTGTTACATAGATCTGTCATGAAACTGCATGCATGAAATTTATGCAGACTAAACACTCACGAGATGAATGTGCTCTGTATCACCGTCGAGCCAGAAAATGTTGGTCTTTAGGTGGTAGTTGTTTGCTTTCTTTTTTTTTGCATTTTACTATTTATTTCAATGTATTTTTATAACTTATTATATTACGCCTTTTATATGAATCTTCTTACATAGGAAAATTCACCATAGGGACTGATTTATGTTTGATGAACCTTATATTCTTACATAAATATTTTCACACACACACATAAAGGCATTCACACACAGCAGAGGCTCAGAAAATAAGTGTTCTACCACTACTAGTTAGGATATAAAATATCATTTATAAATGTATAATTAGCCTCAGCATCAATGCAAATAAGTTAAGCCCTGTGCAGTGACTTGCTGGTTGTGTATGTAAAAGTGTGGGTGTATGTAAAAGTCTAGCTGTTTCTATCATGTAATAGAAATGGAGTTTGCGGTAACAGCTTGAGGCTGTTCTTGCTCTGAAGGAAATAATTGTTTTGAAATTTTATTGCGTCAACTCTTGCTCTGGATTTAGCCTGCAGAGTTTCTTTGAACATTTTACAGAACATCCCTGGTCTTTCCCGATATCCCGCTTATTTCTCTACTGATTCTCACTGCTTATAGCATTGGAGACTATGCTATGCATTATTTTTTTTAACTGTTGTTTTATGTTTACACTTTCTTATTATATATTTAAAACAGAAACAAGCTTGCTTCCCATGTCAGTCCCAGCTCCCTCTTCCTCCCCTCTCCACATTCACTCCCTCCCCCTTGCCCTGCCTGCTCCCTCACCCCTAATCCCCACTCCATTCCCCAGGGAGGGTAAGGCCCTCCATGGGGATCTCTAGAGTCTGTCCAAATTGAGAAAGTATCCCTCATTGTGGGATGGGTCCCCAAAGTCCATTTGTCTGCCAGGGATAATAGCTATGGATGTCCTTAATTTTGAAATATGGTCCTTGCATTCTACTATTTAAAGCTTTAATTTTGGAAAAAGAGTCTTTAAGCTTGTAGATAGTTACAGTCGATTGTACCAGTTCTGTATGGGGAAAATTAATATTTAGTAATAAAAGTTGGGTAGTAGTAACACTGAAATAGATAATTTCCTCTTTCTTTTCACCATCAAATGGCATGAGGCTTTATGCTAATGAAGATTCATCTACAGTTTTCTCAAAACGCAGGTTAAGGTTTTAGCTATGACACATAAGCTACCTTTGCCGTGCCATATCCCTTGTGCCTGGTAAATGACCAGCCCTTCAGTCTATAGGAAACTCAGGCTCGAGTGGTTACAGACTCACAAGTGAACACAGATTAACTTTAACATTAGCTCCATGTTATTAGAGATAAAGACCATCGCTTCTTTTATGTGGACCACTGTTTCCTTTTCTTCTATAACTTAGAGAGACTGCCTGGAAATCCAGAACGCAGTCTGCATCTCTGTGCCTCAAACACAGGACACTTAGATTTCATGAACTCCCTCTCATAGAAATCTAGTCTACATACTAATTTCCCTACCTTTCACCCACCTTGTTTCAGACCTTATATTCAACAACCATTGCTGATTTCTATACACAAAGCTGATGCATTCTTTTGAAGGACTCACCAGTAGCTCCAATGAGAACCAGGAAGAGGAAGGTCTTCATGGTTGCTTACTGGTCCTGCACTGGGCAATAGGATAAAGGCTTTTCCTTCCACAGCTATTTATACCTCCAGATTTGTCATTGACACTCAGGGCCATAGGTGCCAGAAAGGAGATTTCACTGTTAAGTGAAAAGAAAACAGATGAGTTCAGTCTGTGAATGATGAAAGATATAACACAGGACTACTTGTAAGCATTTCCCGATTTCCATAGAAGACTATGGGAGTGAAAATTGCAAACCTGGTGGGAACGACCGAATTTAGCTTACAGTACAAAGGCTGCATGTTGCTGGATTCCCAGATAAAAATATAAGGTTCTTGCTGTGAACCTTTGCCCAAAGGACTATGTTAAACACTGTACCCTTGATATGTAGCTAACAGTAGTTTCACAATTAGGTACTTTGGTGATTTTTCAAGGCACAAAGCATACAATTAAATGTTGATTCACTCATTAGAAAGACTTAGGATAGAAAGACTTACTTTTCATTGTTAGGGGAACTGCGTTAGAGATGACATTGGCCTAGATAGCAAGATCAAGGGCAGTCTGTGCAATTGCCCTGTTTTTGGTTTCTGAGTTTGGGGATTACATCTGTGTGCCACAATGCATGGTGTGACATCACTTTATGATAATATTTCCCCTTTGTCTGAAAAGTTTTCTCTGAAGAAATCACTGATAAACCATCCTATGGTTTGAATTTAATTGTCCTTTGTTACTGAATATCAATTTTGAAGAAAGATTTTGTACTTGATAAAATAGTACTGTTGTTTCTGCATGCAGTTTTGAGGGTAAAAATTATGATAAAAATATTATGCCAAGGCCATCAAGTTGTTCTTAGTATCCTTTCATAAATGCATTTAAAATCTTGTTTCAGCTTAAAAATTGATGCAATTTGTCAATAACAGTACTTTAAAACATAAACCTCGATTTCATTTTTACATTTTAAGAGATTAAAATTGTGTAAAGTAGAACAACTTATATTTGTTTACAGTTGTACTCTCTCAGTGACCAACCCTTTTAATTACTTGAATAGTACTGCTTAGAGTACACAATGCCTATTCATTTCTAGTTATTTTGAAGCAGTTCAGAGCACAAGAATGAGAGCCTTCAAATATTCTTCAGAGCTTTGTGTTTTTGAAGACACATATAAACAGCACATATAATTTCATTTAATAAGTAATAAACCGGCAACTATTAGTGTTACAGCTATATAGAGATACTTCATATATGTTAACTTTTCTACATCTGTAGTGAAATTTAGGATCACTGGCTGTATAAAATAGGTCACCCATGTTGACAAAAGTCAAGGCATGAAGCCTTGTTGCTGTTAGAATGTGAAATACTCCCCCACAGGCTTATGTGTTTGAATGCTTGATACCCAGGATGTGGTGTTATCTGTAAAGATACGTAACTTTTAGGAGTGGGGAGCCTGCACTGGGTTGGGCTTGGAGGTTTTATTGCCCGCCTCTACTTCTGCACCTCTCTCTGTTTCCAGACTGCGGATGCAAAGTGATCTCCCTTCTGGTGCTGGCATCCCTTCCCTACCAGGAAGGACTGTACCCGCTCTAGAACTCTTAGCCAAAGTAAACTCATTCTCCCTTAAGCTGTTTTGTTAGGGTGGTTTTTTTTATCACAGAATCAGAAAAGCAACTAGGATAGACTGCAACCAAGTGTAGGCAACAGCCTATAATGACTCAATCTATTATGGTATCTCTCATCCTGCTCTGCTCTACTCTTACCTTGACTCAACCTTCCTGCTCCCGTATGCTTTCTTCTCCCCTCCTCTTCTTCCCTCTCTTTTTCTTGGTTCCCTCTCCTTCCCCCGATATTCCCAATCTGCTCAGGAGATCTTGCTTTATTCCATTTCTCTGGAGTATCATGCATCTCTCTTGGGAACCTCCCTGTTTTCCAGATTCACTGGTACTCGGATTGTAGGCTGACAGTCCCCTAATTCATATCCAAAACCCATATATGAGTGAATACATACCATGTTTGTCTTTTTGTGTCTGGGTTACCTCACTCAGGATGGTTTCTTCTAGTGCCATCCATTTGCCTGCAAATTTCAAGATTCCATTGGTTTTTTTTTTCCGCTGCGTAGTACTCCATTGTGTAAATGTACCACATTTTCTCTATCCACTCTTCAGTTGAGGGACATCTAGGTTGCTTCCAGGTTCTAGCTATTACATATAATGCTGCTATGAACATAGTGGAACAGACATCCTTGTTGTATGAATGGGCATCTTTTGGGTATATGTCTAAGAGGGGAATTGCTGGGTCTTGTGGTAGTCTGAGTCCCATTTTCCTGAGGAATCTCCAAGGTCTGTCATTTCATCCACAGCAGGACCTAGGCCCTTCCCCATGTGTCTAGTCTGAGAGAGCATCCCTCTATTTGGAATGGGCTCCCCAAAATCATTCATAAAACATGGTAAACATTGATCTACTACCCAAGGCCCCAGTGAATTCTGTGGCCTCCTCACTGGCACTACATTCATGGAGTCTGGATCAGTCCCCTGTTGGCCTCTCAGCCATCAGTCTGGTATTCAAGAGCTCCACCTTATCCGGTCAGCTGTCTTTGTGGGCTTCACCATCATGGTCTTGACCCCTTTGCTCATCACTCCTCCATCTCTGTCACTAGGTTTCAGGAGTTCGGTTCAGTGTTTAGCTGTGGGTATCTGTCTCTGCTTCCATCAGTCACTGGATGAAGGTTCTAGGATGGCGTATAGGGTAGTCATCAACCTTATCATCAAGGAGGGGCTATTAATGTAGTCTCTCCACTATTGCTTAGTTTGCCAGTTGGTGTTATCCTTGTAGATCTCTGGGGATCTCACTAGTGTCAGCTCTCTCCTCAAGCCTATAATGACTAGATCTATTATAGTATCTCTCATTCTGCTTTCCTCTATTCTTAGCTTGACTCAACCTTCCTGCTCCCCTATGCCTTCTTCTCCCCTCCTCTTATCCCCCTCTCTTTTTCCTAGTTCCCTCTCCTTCCCCCGATGTTCCCAATCTGCTCAGGAGATCTTGCCTCATTCCACTTCTCTGGAGTACCATGCATCTCTCTTGGGAACCTCTGTTTTCCAGATTCACTGGTACTCGGATTGTAGGCTGACACTCCCCTGATCCATATCTAAAATCCATATATGAGTGAGTACATACCATGTTTGTCTTTTTGTGTCTGGGTTACCTCACTCAGGATGGTTTCTTCTAGTGCCATGCATTTGCCTGCAAATTTCAAGATCCCATTGGTTTTTCTTTTCTGCTGAGTAGTACTCCATTGTGTAAATGTACCACATTTTCTCTATCCACTCTTCAGTTGAGGGACATCTAGGTTGCTTCCAGGTTCTAGCTATTACATATAATGCTGCTATGAACATAGTGGAACAGACATCCTTGTTGTATGAATGGGCATCTTTTGGGTATATGTCTAAGAGGGAAATTGCTGGGTCTTGTGGTAGTCTGATTCCCATTTTCCTGAGGAATCTCCATACTGATTTCCATAGTGGCTGTACGAGTTGACACTTCCACCAGCAATGGAAGAGTGTTCCCCTTTTACCACATCCTCTCCAGCATAAATTGTCGTTGGCGTTTTTGATTTTAGCCATTCTGACAGGAGTAAGATGGTATCTCAGAGTTGTTTTGATTAGCATTTCCCTGATGGCTAGGCATACTGAGCACTTTTTCAAGTGCTTCTCAGCCATTTTAGACTCCTCTATTGAGAATTGTCTATATAGTTCAGTCTCACACTTTTTAATTGGATCCTTTGGTGTTTTGGAGACTTGCTTCTTGAGTTCTTTGTAAATTTTGGAGATCAGCCCTCTGTCAGATGTGGGGTTAGTGAATATCTTTTCCCAATCTGTGGGTTGCCTTTTTGTGTTGCTGACTGTATCCTTTGCCTTACAGAAGCTCCTCAGTTTCAGGAGGTCCCATTTATTAATTGTGGATCTCAGTGTTTGTGCTACTGGTGTTCAGGAAGCGATCTCCTGTACCAATTCGTTCAAGGATGCCTCCCACTTTCTCTTCTATCAGGTTCAGTGTGGCTGTATTTATGTTGAGGTCTTTGATTCATTTAGACTTAAGTTTTGTACATGGTGATAGACATGGATCTATCTGCATTCTTCTACATGCCAATATCCAGTTATGTCAGCACCATTTGTTGAAGATGCTATCTTTTTTCCATTGTATAATTTTAGTTTCTTGTCAAAAATCAGGCGTTCATAGGTTTGTGGGTTAATCTCAGGGTTTTCAATTCAATTCCTTTGGTCTACCTGTCTATTTTTGTGCCAATACCAAGCTGTTTTCAGGACTATAACTATAATAGAGCTTGAAGTCAGAGATGGTGATACCTCCAGACGTTGCTTTGTTGAACATTGTTGTCTTGGCTATCCTGGGTTTTTTGTTGTTCCATATAAAGTTGAGAATTTTTCTTTCAAGATCTGTGAAGAATTGTGCTGGGATTTTGATAGAGATTGCAATGAGTGTGTAGATTGCTTCTGGCAGGATTGCCATTTTTACTACATTGATCCTACCTATCCAACAAACATGGGAGATCTTTCCATTTCCTGGTGTCTTCTTAAATTAAATCAAGAACAGATAAGCAATTTAAATAGTCCTATAACCTCTAAGGAAATGGAAGCAATCATCAAAAGTCTCCCAACCAAAAAATGCCCAGTTCCAGATGGCTTCAGTGCAAAATTTTACCAGAAATTCAAAGAACAGCTTATACCAATTCTTCTCCAAGTATTCCACACAATAGAAGCAGAAGGTTCTTTGCCAAACTCTTTCTACGAGGTTTCAATAACCTTGATACCCAAGCCACACAAAGGCACAAATAAGAAAGAGAACTTCAGACCAATATCCCTCATGAACATTGATGCAAAAATACTCAATAAAATACTGGTAAATCGGATCCAAGAACACATCACAAAACTCACCCACCATGATCAAGTAGGCTTCATTCCAGGGATTCAGGGATGGCTCAATATACAAAAATCCATCAATGTAATCCACCATATAGACAAACTGAGAAACAAAAATCACATGATCATCTAACTAGATGCTGAAAAAGCCTTTGATAAAATACAACACCCCTTCATGAAAAAGGTCTTGGAGAGATCCAGGATAACAGGAACATACCTAAAAATCATAAAAGCTATATACAGGAAACCAATAGCCAACATCAAATAGAATGGAGAGAAACTCAAGGCAATTCCTCTAAGATCAGGAACAAGGCAAATCTGTCCCCTCTTCCCATATCTCTTCAATATTGTACTGGAAGTTTTAGTTAAAGCAATAAGACAACAAAAGGAGATCAAGGGGATACAAATTGGAAAGGAAGAGGTTAAACTTTCACTATTTGCAGATGATATGATAGTTTACATAAGTGACCCAAAAAACTCTACTAGGGAATTCTTACAGCTGATAAACACCTTCTGCAATGTGGCAGGATACAAGATCAACTCAAGAAAATCAGAAGCCCTACTAGATGATAAAAGGGACAAGAAAGAAATCAGAGAAACATCACCCTTTACAATGGCCACAAACAACATAAAATACCTGGTGGTAATGCTAACCAAACAAGTGAAAGACCTGTCTCTCGAGAGAACTTTGAGTCTGTATTTCCTATTCTTATGGACAGTGACAAAAGGGTTGCTTAGTCAAGGCACATAGATGTAGACCAGGTTCAAATATTTTAAAAATAGGATTTCCAAAATCAGAATGTCAAAAAAAATTAATGTGGCCATTTTGACTTTGAGGGTCCACATGCAGTCTACATTGTACAGAACAGAATGCACATTGGTCACTTGGATGCATGAGACCCATGTACCCTAAGCTCCCTAAACCTTGCATCATATTAAAAATAAAAGCAATAAAATTAAGACACCAGATCTGCACATATCTGTTTGTAGATATGTAGAAGAACCCTGCAAAATTATAGTTGCTTATAAATTTACTGTTAAAAATACTTCACATGAAAAGATTTTTTGATGAATACTATATTGAGACTTAATTTCTTGAGCCTTAAAAGATGGCTCAGCAGTGAGAGCTTGCTGCTCTTGCTTGGGACTCAGCTTTGGTTCCCAGATAATACCAAGGCCTTGTCAAACCTCCAAGGGTATCAAACAAAATGCACAGGAATACATGCAAGAAAATATTTGTATGTTTAAAAAAATAGAAAATCCTCTAAAGTAAGAATTTATTTTCTAAGTAGTTACAAGCCTGGAAAAATATCAGGAATCTTGATAAAACACAAAATCAATAATGTTATTCATACAGGTTCTAAACAGCCCTAAGTGACTTAAAAAAAAAAACAACAACAACCTGTAATTGGAAATGTAAAAAGTGCTTATAAACCTAGGCAAACTTGAATGAGTACATTCTCTAATACTGTTGACTTAATAAAAAAAATGTAGCTGTGCTAGATCAATATACTTAACGGGGTAGGGCTCTTATTTAAAGAGATGACCTTAAAAATACCTGCATAGCATGATGGTTTCATCAAAAGAGACGGATAAGAAGGGAAGACCATCTCCCTAGCGGACTTTCTGGTTGAGGGGGCAGACTGGTGGAGGATAGCCCTATGTCCCCACACTGGCCAGCTGGGCTGATGAAAGAACGACCTGGAAGGAGTGTTCAACAATTTGTGGCTGTCGCAATGGCAGTATGTGTTTGGCACCTCCAAGTGACTATTTCATTCTGCCCAGTGCTCCGTGAAGCTGCTCCAGAACCCACTGTCAACTGGAGTCCTCTTCCCAAATTGCAACCTCCACACGACTTGCCTCTGATGTGACAGAAAACTCCATTACGGAATTCCTTAGATGAGTAGATACCAGTGCGGCGCACTTACCACGTGAACCCAGCAATCCAGACAGGTTGAAAGGTTGGGTTATGCGTTTGAGGACCCGGATTCCCTTGCTCAGTGCACCGAGTCTCAGCCAAGAGTCTCTAGGTAACAAGGAGAGTTCTAGCGGACGTTGGTTCCAGCGGACGTTGGTTCTAGTGGACGTTGCTAATCAAACACCTGGTATCGGCAGCAATGATTGTTCTTTTGGCTGAGCCAGGAACCAAGATTCCGCCAAACACAGGTTGGAGTGCCTTCCTCATCTTGCCACAGACAGCTTTGATGATGTTCTGCCCATGAGAAGTGATCGTTTTGGAGGCCAGCAAGCATCAAAATCCATGTAAGATTCAGACCAGTATCGTGGGGTGGGGGTGTGTGGGCACGGAGAGGCTTTTGTGGGTGGGTATAGAGATTGCCCATGCCTGGATATGGATCCTTAAGATGACCCAGGCTAGCAGAGGCTATGACAGAGGTACACATGAAATTATTTTCTTTCAAGGATTCCTTCCCTCCCACCCCCCCGCTGCTGTGTGACTTCTATTTGAAATCGACTTGCAGGCTATGACTCCAAAAATAGTCAATGGCAGGCATTTGGTAGCAGTAGGGGTAATGTTGGAATGATGACTAGAGAGGAAAAGGGACTTTGTGTAGTCACCTCTGATGATGGGTCTAACAGACAGGAGACAGGATGCATCTGGAGTTCCAGAGATAGTCCCTTGTTGATAGGCTTAGTGACAGGAAAATGGCAAATGGCAGTTGTCAATTATATACCTCAGAGGTTTGAAACAACTTATATAACATAAAGCAAACCACAGGGCACAGAACATTAGGTAAGGATTGCAAATTGGAAATAAAACAATCTCTTATGATTTTGCCTCTAGGTTTTTATTTTTTAATATTTATTTAATAAACTGTATCATCAGAAAAACAAACAAAATACCTGGATGACCATCTAGATTTATTTAATGCCTTAGATGTTGCATGGATTCAGTATTGCTAAAATAGATAAATGTAATGAATATACACAAAATGCATATTCACAAATAAACTCCTCTGTGATTTAAAGAATTTTAGTAACTTGAAGATATGGAATTATGCTAAGTAATAGATGATTTGATTCTACTCAGAAAGTTATATTAACCAAGATCCCATAATAGAAAAGTAAAAATGTAATACACAATAAGAGTTTAAAAAACTATGAAAGATGAAAACACTGAAAGAATGTGTGTATTTACTAATATTGACAATTATTAGGATTATCTTTTCAGTAAGTATGTGTATTCAGTAGGTGTATGTATATGTCTTTCTCTGTGTAAAGTCACATAGGTATGGGTGCCAATGGAGGTCAGAAGAGTGTTTACATCCACTGGAATGGGAGTTGTGTGTCCTGGGGACCCAGTTTTGGCTCCCTGCAAGAGTAGCTGGTGCCCTTCATCACTGAGCAATATGTCTAGCTCTGTGAATATGTTCTTGAGAATATTAAAGATTCTGTGTGATTGATGAGCGACAATTACAAGCTTTTGTAGGAACTGAACTGAACAGATAACAAAAGGATTTTTCAATTGTTTGCCTGTTTGATTTGGAAATAGAGTCTTGAATATGACCCAGAGTGGCTTTAAACTGGTACTTTCCAATCTAATCCTTCTCAGTGCCATGATTTCTTCATGGCACTCAGTACAATGATGCTGTTTCCAAAATTAAACTTTGGTCTTCTGTATGGAAATGAGGAGAAGGTTTACTTGAAGAGCTGACTTACTCAAATTATGAATGTTACTTTTTTGTGTTTAGTTAAACTGCTTAACATTCAGAATACTGTCATCTCCTGTGTGTCTGTCTTAGGAAGAGAAATGAGTAGAACAAATGACCATTGTTCTATTTTACAGTGATCCTATTTAAATTTGTATTTTAAACCATTAATATAATTGATAAATGTGAAATTATATGTTTGGTCTAGGAGTAACTTTAGGATTTCTGGAAGGATCTAGGAATTTGAAAATATGCAGATCTTTATCTATAGATGCATTATTAATATAGTTTCATATATTGTTTGATACCATTAGAATCTGACATATTTGTGTGTGTATTCAGGATACTTACCTACTGTCTATCGGAATCTAAATCCATTTTTTTGTAGTTTTCTGATAGAACTAAACAATTTTACAAATGGTTTTCTTTGAGTATTTGGTGCTTTTGTGAAAAAGTTTTACATAAATGTTTATCGATTTAAATATATGAAAGATGAATCCTTTTGTTGATCTCTGAAGTTTTTGGTCTCTCATGTCGTGTATATTTGCAGCTCACGTGGAAGTATCTGTTTGTAAGATGTTAGCCTTGGCCTATAGGACAGACGAGATCAAACTCAACAGTGAATTCCTATTGTCAGCATACAACTCCTTTAACATCTCTTGGCTTCTCAAATGTGGCAGACAGTCCTGACTCTCCATCTTTCATAACATCCCCTGTGATATGGGGTCAACAGTAAGGACAGCTGTATCTAAGTAGCCAAGGACAAGAAAAACCAAAGTATAGGATTGTTGTACAGTGATGTCTTCAGATAAATGACCCAAAGGCAAAGCTGGAAAATTGTCACCATCAAAATGGATTCACTTTTCTCATCGATATCCAAAGACTACAGATACAGTAGGAAACCAGATTTCCTTAGAAATTATACTTGTGGATAGCTTGATCTAGGACTGAACAGCATGCATAAATATGAAATATAATTTTGTGTTGTTGAGGAACTCCAGCCTATGGAAATTTTGTCACAGTAATCTGAGCTGATTAAATTAGTATGCTTGCCACACTTTACTGTAGAGACTTGTTTTTCTACTTTCAACTTGACCCACTCATTCAAGGCATTTGTCCTCAGGTGCGATCATATCTTTTCCTTTGTCTTGTGCCAGATATCTAGGAATATCATGTCTAGCTTCTTCTACAAACCTTTTTTATGGTGATCCATGGGAAAACTGACATTTTGGAGGAGAACTGCCAAGGCACCAATCAAAGAGAATGGTGCATCCCAGCAAGACCTGTAAAGTCTAGGCAACCCCACTATAACTCAAGAATTCTTTGCTCTCCAAGTATTACATCAGCATTCTGTAGACCTGTCTGCTGTGGTTACTTCACTGCCCAAGGCTCATATCTTTGTTCTAGGCTGGGTTTGCAGAGGTGGCTATGTAAATGGGTTCCAGAGTTTCTCTAGAGGGCACCGGTATAGAGGAGGAACTTAATACAGAGAACTGAAACCTGAGAGAAGGTGCAAGAATCTTGTCCAAACATTTCCAAATATTGAGTTTTGATAGTATCTCCACGAAACATTGGCTGGTTTGAACGAAAGATAAAGTAAACATTATATCATACTGGGGATAAGAACAGCCTGGATTTCCCGTGTTTTTCATAATAACAACGCGAATGAGTTTTAGCAATTGTTTTTAATTCTATGTATTTTTTGGAAACTGATGAGCACATGATATATGATATATACTGTAACCCAATGTGTATTGTAACAGAATTTTGTTCTGTTGATAATCTGATATATTACGAGTAATTTTCCTAAAGGCAACCCTATTTCAACCTCACTGTCTCATAGAGTCTGGAATACAGCAGGTGACAATGAAATTTTCTGATTAGGTTGCACTGAATGACTGAATAACACCTAAACTTGCTTTTACCTCTCAACTTTGCCCAACTTCTCACTTTAGCACCAAGACTGAAAAGATTTTAGAGCAGAGAAAAATGTTTTTATTTCCATATCGATTGTAGAGATAGAAGGAAGGTCACCAGAGGGTGACTCCTAAAGAGATAAAGGCACTTAGTTTTCAGCAATGGTCTGATGGATCCAGTTCAAGTAGTTGCAGACCTTGGCGTAGACACCAGGTTTCCCTTTTGAAGCACAGCCATCACCCCAGGAAACGATACCCTGGAGTTGTCCGTCACAGACCACAGGACCGCCAGAGTCATACTGAGCAACAAAGATGAGATATTTAGACTTGGTTATACCTTTAGGAAAAACGGGATTCAAGACATTCTTTCGTGTTCTCAGGATATTTTTTTTGCAGGTTGCCAATCCTCCACAAAGCACTGACTGTCCTTAAAACTGCAGGTTTCAATATATTCAGTATCTCTGTCTGTATTACTTCCTTCTGCAGTCATTGTACGGGAGGGTACAGAAAAGAGTGAGGACTGCAGAGATTTCATATGACTCATAAGCTCTTTCTCTTTCATATGGACTCAACCCTACAATGCAAGGCTACTTGGGTTTACAGTTTACACAACATCAGCTCTTGGGCCTCTTACCTATAATATTCATCGTCACATCACAAAGAGAAAACCAGCATATGTTTTCTCAAACCCCTTCTTCACCTCCCAGACTGAGACCCAGGTGCAGATTTGCCTTTCTCCATTTCAAAGGAGAAATATGGTGAGGAAGGGAGGCAGACCATCACGGCAGAGATAGATAGCAAGAGACAGATAACAAGCGACTCACCTGGCAAGAGTCCTTTCCACCTTCCAGGAAGCCAAGACAGAACATGTTGTTAGTGACTAGATGTGAGTAGGCCTTGTGACAAGCAGACTCTGACAGGACGGGGGCATCCAGACACTGAAGAAGGGAGGGAATCTGAGAGGCTAAGGGTGAAAATCCAATTAATCACACTGACTTAGTATCTATTTCCTGTTCTGTCTATTACTTTTCATAAGAGCATTTCTCTTTCGTTTTCAAAGCTTCTTCCAGTTCTGAGGGCACCAGGCCTGAATGTGCACACACATACACACACACACACACACACACACACACACACACACACATATACACACACACATACACATACACACACATACACATACACACACATACACACACACATACTCATACACACACATACACACACATACACACATACACACACACGTACACACACACACACACACCGGTGGTGGTAGAGAAAGTACGCATACATAAAACATAAAAAAACTAAAAATGTAAAGCAATTTATAATTTAGAAGATTTCAATGGTTTTATTTATTAGTTACTCTTTCTCTGACATTAGTATCAGTCACTACTGACTCAAGTCCAGGGGCTTCCTCTGTCCTAGATGTTTATTCTATTTATAGTTTTTAGCCCATCAGTAATCAAGATGCAGTCAAACTCCTTGACACTTTTCTAAGTTCATTTTTTTTCTGTCTTGATGAGATTACTGAGGGAAATTTTCTAACTTCAGCTAGCATTTCTTAAATAGCAGGTTCAAAGTTATCCTCTGAGAACCAGACTTTGAGTGAGAATTTGTACCTACTGTCATTAAGGTACAATACTCACACTTACTACTTTATATCTCACAGAGACACTTACCTCCAGATTTCAGAAAGCCCCAGCCAGACACAAGACATTCAGAACCAGCTGATGGACATGACTTTGGCAGAGGGATTGTAGATACTTGAGAGTTGAGGGTAGCTGGTGACTTCAGCTTAATTAGCATGACGTCATTATCAGTATTCCACTTATCATAATCAGGATGGGGGATAATCTTAGCTGCATCAATGAACTGCTCACTGCCTTCAATTTCATAAATGTTGTGTTCTCCGAGACGCACTTGCAGTCGTCTGGATTTAAAGACTAAAAGTTTTAGTGTCCTTGTTCAGTTCATGTTGAGGCAGTGGTGCTGGTGAGACTTTGTGGGTATAGCTCTCAACAAGGGTGACACCAGTGGACATGTTAAGGTTGACTGGGGAAAGGCACTGAGACCTCAACAGCATGCGAACAATTGCAGGCAACTGCAACTAAGTGACAAGCCCATCGATGGGTTAATCAGTATCAAATGTCAAGCCTGAAAACATAGCGATATACTATAATATACATATACACATACATATACACATACACATACATATACATATAAAAACATACAAGTAATGTTATAGAGTTCAAGCATGTTTACACACACACACACACACACATTTAAAATATCAATTAATGAAAAAAGAGGCCATGAGTTTGAAAGAAATTAAGGAGGGGTATATGAGAGGAGGGTATGAAATGAGGTAAAGGAAAAATTACGCAACTATACAACATCAGAAATAAAAGCAACAATTTAAAATATTTAAGTATCCAACATGAATACCCCTTCCTTTCTCCAACCCCCTCAACCATGAGTGTAAACATAACTCTCCACTTAAGCACTGGGTCACTGAAGTAAGCACCCACTCGCAATCCTGGCATAGGTTACAGAATTCCTTAGTAAATGTCTCGGGTACCTGAGACACATAGCCCACCATCATCTTATAACTGGGAGGTATAGGAATGGATACCAAATATATCTTACAAAATGTTTCCAGGTGAAAAGAACATTGCTGAATATTGACTGATGCTTTCTACTTGTTGAATTCCCCAAGGCAAGAGCCAGAGGGATAGAAATAAATCTAGGGAATGGATCAAATTATTTTTCTCTGTGCTGTGGCACTGGAAGTATGACATGCTTGGTTAACCTGGTGTGCAGTTTAGTTCTGATTGAGCTATACTTCTTAGGGCTCATACTGATTGGCATTGTAAAGCTCTTAAGGATCCATCCTTTCTCCTATCTATTTTACATAGTAATTTAGGAAGATAGCAAGGATCCACCCACCTGTGTTAACATCCTTTATGATAAATTAGTATCATGGCTAATAAAACCATGGAATGACTAACGAGTCTCATAGGATCAGAATGTCTTATCTCTCAAGCATAACTCTGTATTTGCCCAAACTGAAATTGGTAATCCTAGAAGATAAAGTGATCTTAGAGATTAAGAATGTGAATAGTGGCTACTTACGGATGATAGCAGTGAGCTGCAGACAACACCCAGTGGTCAGTGATGAGAGATCCCCCACATACGTGAGATCCAGCATTCAGTGACACTTGGTAGGGGACAGAATGCTTCTGACAAGTGTAGCCCCCAACGATCCTATCATCATTCTCCTCAGTGAGGAAGGAAGCTGTGAGAGAAAAGTGAGGAGCTCTCTGTTACACGACTCTGTCATATTATTTCATGCGCCATGAGGTCTTGTGTCATACTGAGGAGAAAAAAAGACGACAATGATCTTCTGCACCACACAGTCAAGACATATCAATGTGATGGTTAACTTTGGTTGATGACTGCTTTTGGAATCACCCGGAAGACACACCTCTGTGTCTTTGTCAGGTTATTTCCATGGGGGTTTAACTGCAGAAGGAAGACTCACTCTAATCATGAGTGGCACTGTTCTGTGGGGTAGGGATCCAGACTGAACCAAAGTGGGTGGCGTGAAATCCTGGAGGGACTCCACTGCTACGTCCCTGCTTCCTGACTTCCTGACTGTCAGTATCGTAGAACCCACTTGTCTTACCTACACTCCCCTCCCCGCTCTCCCTGCCTCCCCTTCCCCACCACACACACCAATATGACCCATCCCAGCACAACTTCCCTGCCAAGGCTGACTATACTCTTTCCAATATAAGTCAAAACAGTATTTCTTTCTTAAGTGGCTCCTCTCTGGTTTTGTCACAATAGTAAGAAAAATAGCTTTAGGTAGTCTTTGGATTTTTCATTATTCTGCACCTTGAACACAGACCTTGAATACGATGATGAATAAACAAATACTTTGAAATATGTGCTTTGTTTGATTAAATATTTTCTGTTATGACATATGTATATATATATATATATTCCATTCACAAACACATACATTGTAGTGAATATACATACCCACAAATCTTATACAGATCAGAGGCTCTTTAGAAAATAAATGTTCTACCGCCACCACTCAACATCTAACCACTTAAAACCACAACCTCTTCAATTTCCATGCAGATGTGGAGAAAGCTTTGCAGTATCCTCATAAAAGTCAGGCATGGTGACATGCTCTGCAGTCCCAGTCCTGGGTGCAAGTGAGAGCAAATGGGGACAGAGACGATAACCGGAACCCACTACCCAGTCAGTGGAGCTGAAAATAGAAAATTTCAAGTGCAGTAAGAGACCCTGTCTCAAAAATGTAAGGTAGGGAATGACAGAGAAAGATACACAAAGACAACCTCTGATCTTCACATCCACAGATGAGTACACCGGCACACACCAGCATACACCAGCGTGTGGGTACACACACACACACACACACACACACACACACACACACACACACCACAAAAGGAAACCTTCTAGGAGTTTTCCTGGTGTATGTTTGTGGTAGTTGATGAAATGTTAAAATGGAAAAGCTACTTCCATAAGTTAATAAAAAGGGAACTTTTAAATGCTGTGAGAGAATATTCTGTCCTATAAAGAAGTGATTAATCAACTTCTTTCTTGGAGTCTAGAATAAATTGTCTTATCATTTGGAAGTTTATGACTTCTAGACTAACAGGTGTACAGTGAGTTTCAGGACAGTATGAACAAACTATAGGTGAAATTGCTATATCAATGAAACAACATCTGTTTATTATCTGACTGTCCTTCCAACATCAAGCAAGTTATTCAGCATTCTCATGTTTTTCAACTATCTACTGAGATTTATTACAACTCCACATGCATTTTATTCAAAAATCTTATTTCTATTATCTAATACTTCAAATAAGTTAGAAAAGAAATGTCTAGACAAGTACAAAAATGCATTACATTTATACTGGTTTTACATAGGAAAAGTAAATATCAAATTTTAAGAATGAAAATTTAGTAGCATTACAAACAGTATTAAAAAGTACTTATCTCTGCTTATCATAACTGCATGCCTTGTGAGTTTATATTAGAGATATTTCACTTAAAAAGTTGTCTGAAAACATAGCCCAAGATTTTTATCAGTGAGGAAAAAAATATTTTCACTGCTGGGATTTTTTTTTTGGTAAATTACTGCCCCTGCAGTGTTCATGGCTCTCAGGTTTTGGTGATCACAGCCCCACCAAGGAGCACAGACTACTTTTGCTCCGAATTCTTAGAAGTCAGTGGGAGTGTGTGTGTGTGTGTGTTTATGTGTGTCTTTGCTATCCTTTCTCTCCTGTTCTAAATTCCTGGAGTCTACAAGGAAGACCAAAACACCATGTGATTCTTCACGAGGCCTCCTCTCTGAATCAATTTTTGATGCTGTGAATTTCTACTTTCAAGGGAGATTTAATCTCTGTCAAGCATGGGTACTGTACACTCATGTACCTTTTAAGCTTCTTGCTTATCGCCCTTATGTGCAATGAGCATTGCTGTTCCCTCCTCCTCCCCCTCCCCACGCATAAAATAAAAACTTACAATTCAGGAACTTGCAGATTCATTCATTTCAAAGACTCACCAACAGTTCGCAGGAGAACAGAGAAGAGTATCTTCATGGCTGCGCACTGGATCAGAACAGGTAACAAGACTGAGGTTTGATCTCATGGGTAGTTATACCTCCACATCCATCAATGACAGCCACGGTCTCAGGTGCCAAAAAAGTGGTTTCACTGGGAAGTCACAAGTCTAAACTTAGAATCCTATTCTGTGACAGGTGGGGTATAATTCAAGACTTAGTTAGCATTTTCCCAGCAAGTTATGGGAAAGGAAGTTGCAAACCCACCTGGCAGGAACTGGTTCTCCTAAAAGGAAAAAAAATTGGTATGAGGTCACAGATAACCGCTAAAAGTTTCCAGACTCTCAGCCAAATATCTTGATAGTTGTTTTGCTGACATGTGAATTATTTTCCAAGAGGATATCATAAAGACCTACTATGGTAATTGTTATTATTAATGGAATAGATTGTAACTGTTATTATTAATAGAATAGATTGTTGTCCTGGTGCAAGTAATCATCTTATTATTTAAAATATAGTCAATTAAGAGGAAAAGAAAAGTAGTTATATTAACTTTTTCCTAGACCTTACCAAGTATATGGAATGTAGAAATCCGATTTACATGGAGCTTCAATTTCTCTGGAAGAAATGATCCAGTTACCTGTGGATAAGAAGGAAAAATAAATGGCTGAAAAATTCTAGAAATAAATAATTCTTAAGTTTAAAGTGACTTTGGCCATGCACAGTGGCATGTGATTGTATTCTCTGAACCTGAGAGAGAGTCAGGCAGATAAAGAATTTGAGTCATTACATATTCAAGGCCAACTTAAGCTCTGTAGCATGACCTTGTGTTAAAGAACATGATTATAATGAATCAAAGGATTGTGCTTATTTTATTAGCAGTTAGTGAGGTTACTCTTTTACTTTGAATAACTATAAACTAAACTTCTATTTTATATGTAGATAAATTAAATTCTATGTGAGATTTTTACTTTTTGTCTTATTGTGCATTTAGTGGAGGTCCTGAAATGCATTCTCCCTGGGTAAGGCTATGAGTGTGTTCTAAGTTCTCCATAGAAGTTTATTCTCCTGACAGCTATATAAGATGCCTGATGAAGTCAGTAAAGACAGTAATATAAGTGACCAAAGTGGTACAGTGCTTTACTAATAGCACACAACAAGCTGGTGGAATCAGTCTGTGTTCTTGTCAGATTGATGCAGAATTCTTCATCAATTATAATGGTTGTGGAGTCTCTACCACAGAAGAAATTCAGTGCATCAAATCATTTGGTCACGACAGACAACACTATGAATATTATGCTGCTTTAATGTTACTTTTCTTTGTTCTTGGAATTTCATACATATAAAATGAAACATGATCATACCCATCCCCTGGTTTCTCCCCTTCAGTTCATCCTAAATTTCCCCAACCTGGCTCCTTACCAATCTCATCTCATCTCCCTTTTATAGTTACTTATTTTACGTGTATGTTGTGAGTTCATGCAGCTGGGTTATCTCCAGAAGACCACACTTCGTAGCACTTCTCGTCATCATCCAGCTCTTAACATCTTTTTCTTCCTCCTCCTCCTGAGCTGTGGTGGTGATGGTGATGGTAATGGTGGTGGTGATGGTGATGGTGATTGTGATGGTGGTAGTTATGGTGGTGGTGGAGGTGGTGGTTATGGTGGTGGTGGTGGTGATGGTGATGGTGATGGTGATGATGGTGGTGATGGTGATGGTAGTGGTTATGGTGATGGTGATGATGGTGGTGATGGTGGTGATGGTGATGGTAGTGGTTATGGTGGTGGTGGAGGTGGAGGTGGTGGTGATGGTGGTGGTTATGGTGGTGGTGGTCATTAATGTGGCTGTGGCGCAGAAGACATTTCTTTTTATTCTCAGTACTCTGGACAAGTATGAATCATTCCACTTACTGCTGCCTGTTACAAAATGAAACTTGTCTGACCAATACTGAGAACAACTCCTCTCTGTGGGTATAAATAAATATACAGATGGCAATCTGACAACATGACAATCTAGCAAAATATAATAGAAGGCTCTACTCTAAGGTCTATATCTACTCATCTCTGAATATTAGGCTAGAATTACAGTTCTAGGCATGGGAATCTCCCCACTTTGGAGAAGGCCTCGGTCCAATGAGAATGCAGTTAAGTGACCTAAAACAGTTGTGCCACATTTACACTAGTTGGCATGTTTTGACTGGTAGGTTGGTATTGCAGCTTACAAGGTCTAGCACTGGGTAAGATCTTAAATGTCCTCTCTCCACATCCCCTAGGCTATGGAATGGGGCTACCCACATTAGGAGAATTCTTTACTCACCAGGATCTGAGAAGCCACAATTTCATGTTTGCCATCGTGAATTCCACCACGTCCTTCCTGTCACAATGGAAGAAAAACTCTGAAATTGTGAGTCAGAATTAAACTTTCCCAAGTAAGATATTTTTGTCAAGTGGTTGATCATGACACAAATGTAAATAACAGATAATATTTGGGTAGTTTTTGTTGAGAAATTAATCATAGGCTTTTGGGACAGGTTTATAGAACAAACATAGATAAGTTTATAGGTGGGCAGCAGAGCACATTCAGGACATTGGAAGTAGAACCCAGTGAGAAGTTTTAGTGGCAGTCTGAAACACCAGACTGTGGACAGAAATGGAAACAGTTGAGACAGCACCGAGATCTTTGGGAGAAGCCTGACATTTCAGGCAACATGAAGAAGGATCAGACTGCACTCGGGGAGCTTGTCAGTGGGCTATGCATGAAAATGAGTATAATGCCCAAGTTGCAATACAGACCTTAGAGGAACAAGGAAAAGACACTCTGCTGAGAAAATCTGGTAGCTTTGAGTTATACCTGCCTGAGAGAGAGGGCATATGTACTGTGTGTGGCAAGGCCACAGTGTGGAGCTGCCTAATTTCTAGGAGCTAAATGATGCCAGCATGTGTCACAGACACTTCACAAAAAGCCACATCATTTAATACTTACTATCCAGAGTTTGCATTTTGCTTTGGTTCATTCTTCCCTTACTATTCCGCACTTTACTAATTGAAATGCCTACTTTGGTCCATTGTATGTTGGAAGCATGTAACTTTTTTTGTGAATTTGCAGGAGCTTAGAGCTAAGATTGCATTGAGTCTCAGAAGGATTTAGTACTAGGGCTTTCGAAAACACAAGGAACTGTAAAAGTAACAAGAACTACGAGAAATCAGCCTGTGTTTTGTGAACAAGCTCTATGGAAATTTTGTCAAAGCAGCCTGAGCTAACAAAGGAAATAGAAGAGGAGGAGAGAGTAGGTCATGGGGGGTAGAATAGGGGGAAAACAGGATGAAAAATACCATAATAGAGGGAGTCATAGGTTTGAAGAGAGATCTGGCACCAGTGAGACCTCCAGTGATCTAAAGGGATGACACCAACTGGCAAGCTAATCAATAGTGGAGAGACCACCTTAAATGTCCATTCCTGATAATGAACTTGACGTCTGCCTGATATGCAATCCTAAAACCTCCATCCAGTGGCTGATGGAAGCAGAGGCAGACACCCACCTATGGGGCCCTGGACAGTAGATCAGTATTTATCCCTGGCATACAAATGGACTTTGTGTGTCCATAACACAAAGAGGGATGCTCAGCCTGGACTCTTAGGGGAGTGCCTGGACCCTACCCTGAGCGGAATGACAGACTCTGGATATCCCCTATGTGGAAGGAAGTGGGAATAGGGTGGGAGGGTGGGGGGTGGGGTGCGAGAGGAGGGGAGGGAGAAGGAACTGGGATTGACATGTGAAGCAATCTATTTAAAATTAAAGTAATAAAGTGTAATGAAAAACAAAGGAAATACAGTTTCCTTCTTATCCTCAAGGGTGTATATTTATTTTGCTTTTCAAAAACTTCCATTTACTCTAATATGCTTTGTTTCAAGCTCATTATGTCCTAAATTTCCCTTGATCATTCCATATAATCCCAGGAATTCTTTGTAGGATCTTCTATAACAAATTTTTAATTTGGTGAGAGAAGGAAAGAAGATGAATAAACTTGGTTGTGTTCCACTCTACAGGCAGAGATAAAAGAATGCAGATGATAGTTTCTTTACCGGAGGAATATGACAAAAGACTGACATGCTCAAATTAACTTCTCTAAGGTGTGTTTCAATTACTTTTACCATTGTTTGAACAAAATACCTAAGCAAAGCAACTTAGGAAGGAATTTCGGCACATATTTTGAGAAGAAAGTACATCCTTGTGGGGAAGGCATGGTCCAGAACCATGAGGGTGATGGTTGCGTTTCATCTAGAGGCAGACAGCATTGAGAGATGAGAGGGAGAGTCACAGCCTGCTTTGTCCTTCACATGCACTCTAGAGTCAAACCCAGGCAAATGATTCTGCTCATACTTAACACAGATTTCCCCCACCTCGGTTAACAAAGTTATAAAATATTTCATAGACATGCACAGAGATTTATTTCCAACTTTATCAGAGACCATGTTAAGTTAAATGCCAATAAAAGCCACCTCACATTGGGAGTGAAAAAAACTGTCATTAAATGTTCTTTTTTTTAAAGATTTATTTATTTATTATGTGTACAGTATTTTGTCTTCATTAATGCCTGCATGCCAGAAGAGAGTACCGGATCTCATTACAGATGGCTATGAGCCAACATATGGTTGCTGGGAATCGAACTCAGGACCTCTGGTAGAGAAGTCAGTACTCTTAACATCTGAGCCATCTCTCCAGCCCCATTAAATGTTCTTACGCGCTAAAATAACTATTTGTCATAGGAAGACAAAATTTCTTGGGTTTAATAAGGTTTCTAGGAATAAAAGTGTCACATGTTTATTCTATTTAGACAACTTTACTGAGTTAAATTGATCTTAAGCATATGTAGGTGTGTATATCATGTTAATAGGAGAATTAACTCTTAGTGAAAAACAACACCGTTGGTATGAAATCACTGTTACCTATACTGTGTATTTTTGTGACAATGTATGTATATATATAAGTAGCCAGGCTTTTAAGTGTAAGTATTAATTCATTAAGTTTAGTTATAAAAGAATATAAGCATGAGGTTCACAATTCAGTGATATCTTTAAGTTTCTAGTTATAAGAGATACATCTATCTCTTTTTATCATATTTAATAACAATTGAAAAAATGGTCAGAATGCAGTTATGTTGAATCAAAATTTTTGTCCTATAGAAGTAGCTCCTTTGATAGGGTCCCTATGTTCAAGATGCTCAAGAAAAGCCAGTTCTAGAATCCATGCTTACGATGCCAATTAAAAGAACCATGTTAATAGTGGAAAGCAGAAAAGGACATTTATCAATGTGGCTGTTATGAATATGGCATAAGTGGGATGCTTGGTATATCCCATGATGACCGGTGAGTGCCAAACGATGGGTGAGAGATGGACAGAGACTTATAGACAAAATTTACGTGGAAAGTTTACTGCGGAAAGAACATGACTACATGGTGTATATCCTAACACTTTGTGTCTGGCTAACAGGAAAGTTTATGAACTAATGTATCTAATGTAGAAAATTAAAAGGAAGTCCAACATTGAGTTTGTGATATGGAAATTACACCTATTTTGGGAGGACCAAGGTTACAATTGAAGTTACTGGAGAAAATGAGAAAAGAAAGCATTGGTTGTCT